GGAGAGAGGGAGAGAGAGGGGGAGAGAGGGGGAGAGAGGGAGAGAGAGGGAGAGAGAGAGAGTGTGTGTGTGTGTATGTGTGCATGTGTGTGTGAATGCGAGTGTGAGCGTGAGAAACCTACCAGTTCTTTGATACCGAACAGCTTCTGTCCGACAGGCGACAGATTCACCTTTGACACGGAGACCTCCCAGGCACCAGCGTTCCTCTCAACCTTGGCACCCAAGGCACGTGCAATGATCTGGTGGCCGAAGCAAATGCCCACGATGGGGATCTGGGTGGTCTGGTAGATGTTGCGGACGTAGTCAACCAATCTGACGATCCACTCGTTGTCATCGAAGGCGTTGTGCCCTGGATGTGTTAGCATCACGTAGATTGATGCGTACATGTATGCATATACTGATATGAAGGAGGGGAACACGAGAGAGAGATCTTTTATATATATGCATATATATATCGACGACACGACCCCTCGCTGTGGGCTGTACTCACTGCTTCCCGTCAGAATGAGGGCATCAATCTTGTCCAGCTCAGGTAGCTCTCCCATGTCAACCATGTTTGACTTGATGACCTCCAGGTCGACCTTCTTCTCCCCTCCATTGGCGATGTAAGACTCGAGGCCGCGACGGATAAAGGCCTCGAAGATGGTGCCGTAGTCACCCTCCTTTTCCAGGACGGCGGGGAGCGGAGTGTCGCACTCTAGGACGGCGAATCTGAAGGGGGACATGGTGGGTGGTGAGCGGTAGGTTGTTTTGGGTCTCAACAGGAAATGGAGGGAGACAGATGCGGGAAGATGTATATACGAAACTTTTCCTCCCTCATTTGTGACAATGGAGAATCAAGGTTCACCTGTGGCTTGATTGACGATGCTTGGCAAGGAGTGCTACGTGGTTTGTAGGGGTGAAGGGCACCGATTACGGCATGTGCGGGTCCCGAATGGCGCGGGGCAAAAATAGCATGTCGGACTTTGGGATGCCGATGGTGGCCGATGGTCGGGGGGGTTTCTCGTGTATTCTTGCCTAGGAGGGTATCCGTCCTGATAAGGAGTTGACACTCGACAATGTCTAAGATACGAGTCAGCGAAAGGGTGATGTCATCCTTCAACATATATATGTGTGTGTGTGTGTGTGTTTATATATGCCAAAATGACATCTTCTTTTTCTTGTCTTCTTGGTAGAGAGAAAACCTCTTGTTTCGTTCACTATGCCATGCTCATCTCGGATATATTATCATGACAAGTGGGGTGCATCGGAAGTGGTCGGACCTTGACACCTTGATGATCAATACTGGTCTACTTGTATGTAGCCCCGATGCGACATCAACATCAGAGTATCAAAAACTCTGCAACCGTCCCTCCCTTGATGATTGACGAAGCAAGCGTACAAAGTTTTGACAACTCACAATCAGAGGGACAACATAAGAAGAGTCAGTTGCGACTGAAAACAAATAGGGATATCCATACAGACATAGTATAACTGCAGGGTAAGCAAACATCTCTCCCGCCTAGCATAATGGACATGCGCCGTACATTGCCAGGCAAATGGTCCTACGCGGGCCTCTTGTATCATCACGATTGAAAGCCTGCAGTGAAGGGGATGCATATTCCCTGTTCTGTACGACGCATCGGGGTCAGAGCTACATGGGAAACCCCGGATCTGTAGAGTGCTCCCGCCCCCCCGCGGGGTGACGTTGGTGTGTTGGAATGTATCGGGGGAGACTGCAATTCCAACAGGTGGAAATGTTCCCCGGCGATGTTTGAGATCGAAAGGAGGGAGGGTGTAACAACGATGCAGGAATCATCCAAGGAAATAAGAGAACTCGTTTACCGGGTACTTATTGCCAAGGGGACAAAGAGGAGCGAGACAGCCGACGGGTAAAGATGCTACGACGTAGGAGGCGGGAGGAGGGGGTGGGGCTCTATGTCTTGGTGTTGATATCTACGCACAAGCGGTACATGTGACAGCATTCTTCTTCTCGCTCCTTGTTCTCTCCTCGTCCTTTAGGTTGACCATGCTCCCAATCGAACAGTACTGACGTGTATGGGTCTAACGACGGCCGCAGCTAGATGGCAATGAACGCATGGTCTGTTGTAATAGACAGGTGTGATCTCGCCTATATGTCGTGATGCGAAGCTACAGGAGGGACATGCACTCTTGTACTCGTACACACCACATCACACCACACATAATTTTCAGACCACACACAACCATGCCGACGTACACACACACACACACACACACACACACACACATACAGATATGCCACAATGCACCAGTCAAAAAAAAAGGAGGGGGGGCGAGTTCTCGCTTGCAAGCAGGGAGGTCCATTGTCGAATCAGCAGTAGGAAGAGGTGTGTCATCGGTCTCCATTTCCATGTTTAGCAGTAGTCATAGCAATTGAATCCTGGCAATGCTCGGTCTCGTAGCCTAAGAGCTCACTGATGGTAGCAAGACTTGCAGATTGCAATATCGTATAGCTGTGGTGGTGCAAGGTGATGATGATGGTAATAATTAACATGTGAAAGTGTGGCTGGTGCTGATGTGGATCCCGCCTACGGAGACCACGGTGCATGTTTTCACCATATAATACCGATCGGACACGACGCTTGGCCAGTGAATACTGGTGTGCTATGGGGATGAAAAGACAAGAAGACAGGTCGTATTGGTTCGTACGTACGAGGTGCATATACATCGCATGGATTTGGAAGGATGCGTGTGGTTGTGTCGAGGAATAAGAGGCAGGACGAAGAGAGAGAGAGAGAGAATGGAGATTGGGAGGTCACGGAAACCGTTAGCAATGTTGCGTCAGATAAGCCAGCGGATCGTTGTAGGCCCGCTAGTTGGTTCAGTGTAACAGTGGGCAGAGGGGGGGGGGATGGTGGTGGCGCCTTGAGGTTAAGAAGACCTGGACGTGGGATGCATCGGATGGGTGGACGGGAAGTCATCAGTTGCTTCAGACTTCGACTATCACGTCCCAGCCGTTCACCACCATGACAAAGTGATTAGGTCTTCTTGCGATCTATTGTATAAGAAGAAGAAAAAGAAGGATGAAGCTGGAGGAAGAGAGCAAGGGATTGGGAGACACGACTTTCACATGTCAAAAGAGCCAAGGAATAGAGGAAAAGAAAAAAAGAGGACCCTCACTCCACTGACATCCATCGCCAGGGACCCCTACCGCTGGAATGTGTGGCTGAAGGCGGGTCATTAGACCAATCCCGTGGCACCGTCTCACAGATCCGGCCTGATAAGACATGGGGCATCGGAAGCACATGCTTTTTGGACTTGAGGGACTTGGCTGGTTTCTACCCAATTTGTTGCGCATTTTTTTTTTTCCCTCGCCTACGGTAATGATGATTCACTTTTCCCATTTGTCTCTTCTTCTTCTTCTTCTTCTTCTTTCTCTTTAGGGAGTAGTGCTACCTGTGTACGCTTGGATTCCCCCCCCCCTCTCAGATCGCACGCACGTACCCTCCCATGTCACCCCACCACCCCGTGTGTGGCTTGTAAGTTGTACGTACTGCAAGTACTCGTGGTAATAATAAATCGGTAGAGAAAGGAACTATCATGTGCAAATATCGCCTCCTTCGCTCCCCAGGCACCATCCGTCGTCCCCCCGTCCCCCGTCCCTCGCTCTCGTACGAGTAGCCAACACTGCACACACACACACACACACGCCGTGCCCTCTCTCTATCTCTTTGTCCTCCGCCCGTCCCTTTTTAGTCCCTGTGCTTCCCACTTCTTATTTCCTTCCCTTTTCTTTCCCTTCCCTTTTCTTTCCCTTCTTACTCCTCCCATTTCCCCATCCTATAATACACACACACACACACACACTCTCTCTCTCTCTCTCTCCCTTCCTCCCTCTCTCTCTTGTCCATACGGCATACTCCAACCCTCTCATAGCATCCCTCATCTACTTCTACCGAAGACTATATACCAACCACAGCGTAACAATGGCCGCTTCCCAGGTTAACGGTGAGGTCAACAACGTTGGCCCTCACTCGGCATTTCTCCAGGTAAATGAAAACTTCGCACCCGCACACCGTCACCCGACACGCAATAACTAACCTCGACCACCGCGCAGCACCTGCTCGGATATCCCATCATCAGCGACGGCATTGACACCTTCAAGTCCCACGAGCTCGGCCAGCGCTCCATCAAGCTCGGCGACTCTGCCTACAAGACGCTCGCCTCCACCCCCGTCGTTCCTTACCTGACCAAGGCCTACGGCTACGTCTCCCCCTACATCACCCGCGCCGACAACTTCGGTGACAAGACTCTCGGCCAGCTCGACGAGCGCTTCCCCGTCGTCAAGAAGCCCACCGGAGAGATCTACTCCGACACCAAGTCCCTGGTCCTGACGCCCTACACCAAGGGTCTCGAGGGCCGCGACCACGTCCTGACCATCTACTCGACCGAGGTCAAGAAGAACGGCGAGCAGAAGGCCGGTGTCATCGTGTACGGAAAGGCCGCCGTGGTCACGGCCCTCGTGGTCAGCAACGAGACGCTCGCATGGGTCAGCGGGCTGCTGTCGGCCAAGAAGACTCAGGCTACCGAGGTTGTCAGTGACAAGGTCAACAGCACTCAGTAAGCTTGCCTGGGCTGCGCTTGGTCTGATGGTGACTGGCTCGGCTACATCTCGTGAGCGCAATACATGATGATACGGAGTATACATATGAAGCTGGTTGCGGATGGTGACGATTTTCCCTTCTGCTTCTCTGTTCTTCTTCTGCTATCCTGCTACCCCCTCCCCCCCTTTTTTTTTTCTTTTCCTTTTCTTTCTTTGCCGTTCCCTTGATTACAACATCATGATCACAATACCCCGCCCCCTTACCCTACCTACATCATGTCTTAGGCTGGCGAGACATTCAGACACGACTTACCAGGGAGTGTTGAAGCAGAAGAAGTGCAGTCACGTTTGGTTATCTTGATGGTGGCAATCTGCCAATGTCAGAGTAGAAGGTGACTTTTGTTTGAGTGAGCGTCACGACGCGGGGCGATGGATGGAGGTGTAAAAAGAGCCTTTAGATTTGTTTGATTGATTTATTTTCCTTCATTCTCTCATCCTCTTTTTTTCTTTTTCCTTTTTTTTTCTTTATCAACTTGAAGTGATGAAGATGTTCTCGTGCTACCAAACCGTGCAATAATTGATGCTGGTGAAGATGCTCTCAAATTTGTCAAATTGTCTTGGCGTTGACGATGAATATATCTGAGGCTGAGACTACACGGAGAATGCGACGGAAATGGGACCTGCAATCACGAGGCAACATCAGTCGTTGCTGATGGCAGTGGCCAGTGATTGGGGGGTCAGGCCGGCTAAATGGTACGGTAGGATATGTAGAATTATTCACTATTGATAGTGCCACCACATATCAGTACTACTAGTACGGAGGGAGTATAAATGTACGAGCAAATCATACTATGAGAGACTGAGAATATCGTACGAGCATGAGAATGAATGAGCATGAAACATTGTGAAGGGGTAGTGTGAGAGCTCAGAGAGCAATTGAGAGAGCATTGAGAGGGAGGGGGGGGGGGTGGATCCTGCTGCTGATGTAAAAGTGACTAATGAATCATGACGCAAGAAGCAGGTAGAAGATCAGGATGGCCAATGATGGAGTTGGCATTACTTACTACAGTGGAGTGATTTAGTTGGACTCGTCACGGAGTATCGTTACGGGCTATTAATACCGAGTACGGGATACCTCTGCGGATGCCGAGGGGAAAGACCTGAGAGTAATAGTATTAATACATGTTGTAATAGTATTAGTGATTTTTACGAGGGGATTAACAAGCAAAAAAAAAAAAGGGTCCCGGGCACGGATTTAATACCCTCGACTCCCACTTCTCCCGGTTTCTCCTGCATCTTCTGCCATTTCCGGACAGGTCACGCTACTACCCCCAAAAAATAGTATATCAGACAGAGAGAGAGAGAGAGAGAGAGAGAGAGAGAATATAAGAACCCCTCCCATGAAGCTGCTCCCTTACATCCTGACAATTGCCATCGGCATAGCGTCCATCTTTGCAGCCAAACCGTCCATCGGCAGCGCTCTCAGCAGCGCTCTCAGCAGCGCTCTCAATCATCTCACCACGAACCTGTGGGGGGGAGCACCAACATCACAACAGACACCAATAGCACAGCAAGCACCGACATATTACAACGCCGTGTCGGCAGACGAGAAGCAAATCGTCTCGGAAATGGCCGTCCCCCGACCAATTAGCAAGGTATTCTTGGCCGTCGAGCAGGGTGAGGGTGCAGGGGCCCGTGTCCGCCGGGCCATCGGCACGCCGAATCTACGGAATCTATCGCCGTTTTTGATGCTGGATCATTTCAGTATCAGTCCTGGAGCAGGATTTCCTGATCAGTATGTTTTTTTCATTTGGGTTTTTTTTTTCATGCCCCTCCCTTCCATCCCAATCCCAACCGTCTTCTTTTCTCGTTTTCAAATTTCTGCTATATATGTCTTATATCCGAATGAAAGAAGTGAAATATAAAGAGGAAGGAATCAACAACAAAAGAACAGAAAGGAAAAATGCTAACAAGAGTTTTCTCCCCCCTCCCCCAACAGCCCTCACCGCGGCCAAGAGACAATAACATACCTCCTCTCCGGAGCCGTAGACCACGAAGATTTCGCTGGCAACAGCGGCACCATCGAAGCCGGAGACCTTCAGTTCATGACGGCCGGCCGTGGCATAGTCCACGCCGAGATGCCGCGGCAGAACCCCGATGGCAGCGCCAACGTCGGTCTCCAGCTCTGGGTCGACCTCCCCTCCAACCTGAAGGCGTGCGAGCCGCGGTACCGCGACCTGCGCGCCTCCGAGATACCGGCCGCGCGCGACGTAGACTCGGGCCGCGCCACCGTCAAGGTCATCTCCGGCCAGTCTCACGGCGTCGACTCCGTCAAGGACCTGGCCTACACGCCCGTGTGGATCCTCGACGTCGAGCTCCGTCCCGGCGCAAAGGTCGACCAACCCGTCCCCCGCACCTGGAACGCCTTCGCCTACGTCCTCGAGGGGGACGACGTCGTCATCACCGACGGGACGGCATCCGAGAGCGGCGGCGGTGACGGCGGTGACGCCAGGACGAGGCAGGTCCAGCCGTACAACGTCGTCGTATTCGGAAAGGAGGGAGACATGATCCACGTCGAGGCCGCCCCCAAGGCTACCAAGCCGGCCAGGATCATCATCATCGCCGGTATGCCGCTCAACCAGCCCGTAATCCAGTACGGCCCCTTCGTCCTCACTACAAAGGACGAAGTCTACAAGGCCATCATGGACTATCAGTCTCATTCCAATGGCTTTGAGCGTGCCAAGGGTTGGCAGAGTGAGATTGGAAAGACTATGATGTAGAGGGGGGGGGGGGGGGGGGGCAACTCAACTCATCTCAGTTTCATTTCATCTGTACACACACACAATTACACAACTTACATCCTTCCACACTTATACACTTATACACTCGCACATTTATGAGAATACCATAGCATATTAATATTTCATCCACTGTTTTGTACAGCTATTCGCCATCCAGATGTGAAGAGTGCATCAGTTGTGCGCACTACGTCTCAACACCCGGCACCGTAGTCCATTGCGCAAAATAGACGTCATACATGACATCCAGTCCACACTGAACACTACCCTCTCACGCCAGGTAACCTTGTCCTTGTTTTCACACAACTGAGGTAATGCACTTGATAAACTAAGATTTATTGATAGGACCATGTCCACCATGTTCCATGACTGCCATTAAGAGTAAAAAAACGTTCCCATTCCACCAAACCGGCCGTCTGCCTGCTGCAGAATCCTTGATTCCCTACCGCCATGACCAGATTTCCCTTGACCATTGCGACTATTAATCCTAGGCGGCCCTAACAGAGGGTATTATGTATCAAAACATGTGCGACGTGAACGTTAAAAAATGTTGTGCGGGTCCATTCTATCAAAAGACGCGATTTTCTTGGTGTGTTAAACCTGCTTACAGGAGAGCGACGGCGATGCCGGCGGCGAGGAGCATGCCAGCGGGGGCGACGACACCAGCAGCGTTGCCGCCATCGTCGCCGTCGCTGGAGCCAGTGCTTGATGAGCCGTCAGAGGAGCTGGTCTGAGAGGCACCGCCGCTAGAGCTCGAGTCGGAGCCGGAGCCAGTGGCAGACCCAGTCTCGGACGAGCTATCACCGGAACCGGTAGCAGATCCAGTCTCGGAAGAGCCAGAACCGGAGCCAGAGCCGCCGGAAGTGTTGGAAGAGTTGTCGTCATCGCCAGACCTGGTCGAGGTGACCAAGCCAGACGAGCCGGAACCGGCAGCGCTAGTAATGGTCGAGACCTGAGTCTTGCCGTCGGAGGTGATGGTGGTCAGGATGGCACCGCCGGCGCCGCCGTTGCCGCCAGAGCCGGAAGCAGAAGTGCCAGAGCCGGAGCCAGTGCCGGAGGCGGTGGTGATGGTGGTGACCTGGGTCTTGTCGTCAGAGGTGATGGTGCTGACAATGACACCACCGGCGCCGCCGTTACCACCGGAGCCAGAAGCAGAAGTGCCGGAGGCGGTGGTGATGGTGGTGACCTGGGTCTGGCCGTCAGAGGTGATGGTGCTGACAATGACACCACCGGCACCGCCGTTACCGGAGCCGCCGGAGCCGCCAGAGCTGGTAGCAGTGGTGGAGGCCGTGTCGGAACCGGAGCCGGAGCCCGAGGCAGAAGTGGCCGAAGCAGCGCCGGTGCCGGTCTGGGTAGCAGAGCCGGAAGCAGAGGCGGAGCCGGAAGCGCTGCTAGAGCCACCCTGAGACTTGCAGATCTGGGTTCCGTAGGCAATGACGGCCTGGGCGTCCTGGCCAGGGCAGACAGCGTTGGCGCAGTCGCGGATGCCGTAAGTGAAGTCCTTGTTGTCGCACAGGCACGAGACGTCGTTGGCCGCGCAGCCGAGGGACTTAGCCTTGCCGTTGAGCATGTCGCTAGCGCACTTTTGCTGTTGATGGGGGAGGAATGTCAGTAAGTCGATGTCAATCGACGACAGTAGGCATCAATTGGACGTACTCCACATTCGGGGATGGACTGGAAGTCCTGAGCGGCGACGAAGCCGGCAACGGCGAGGATTACAGCAGAGGCCTTCATCTTGAAGATGTGTATGTGGGTTGGGGTTGGTATCGAAATCTGAAGCGGGAGAAGGCGGTTAGTTTCTAGAAGAGAAGGAGAAGCCAGATGTGATGAAGAAGCGACGCATGCAGAATAGAGAGAGGGAAATGCACAAGAGGCCGGGGCAGCGTAAGCTTTTCAAGAGATGACTGGTGCATCCCTCCCCAGCTGGCAGGCCATGATAATCATGGCACGGCACGGACACCAGGGCAACCACACGGGCGGTTGGAACCAGCCATGTGTCTGGCACAGGGCAAAAGGGAGAGAGAGATGGATGCCGTTCAGACCAAGTAAGAGATGGAGTGAAGGCCATCGATAGGTGAGACTCAGAGCTATCGGGTCTCATATGCCCCGGCCGCGTTCCTTGGCATTGAGGCATTGCGGGGAAAGAGAGCCATGACGAGGGAGGATGCGAATTCAGTATGGAAAAAGACCATATCCCTCAGGCAATGGACCCTGACGGGAGAAGGAATGCAGTTGTATGTGTGATATGGAAGGGGRGGGGGGGGGGAGTTCCCTTACTAGAGGAGATATTAGAAACACGGGTAATGTGTTTGACGAAAGAGAAGAAGCAAAAGACGAGGCTGATGATGAGGGAAGAAAGAGGAGGGCAAGAAGAGAGAGGAGGATGAGGAGGACCGTCGAGTTTAATAGAAGAAGGCAAGAACGTGAAAGGCAAGCCAAGAGTAAAAAAAAAAGAAAGCAAGAGCGATGCACCGCAGCGGAGGACTCTGGGGGGGGGGGGGAGTGTGCGCAGCTGCCGGCAACCGGAGGATATGGGGCCCGAGGGTCTGTCTCTCGCTAAGTGTACAAGTTAGATTTTTAGTTCTTAAAAAGTACAATTTGTTAGTAGTAATCGACGGGGCCCAAAGAGAAAGAGAGAGAGAGTGTGTGTGAGGAAGAACGAGAGAGAGAACCGCATATGATTAGGGGGGGGCGTACATCATGTGGGTGTGTATAGATGGAATAGGTCTCGGAGGAGGTTATGACGATTGGGGGAAGCACTGGAGACCAGACCTAGCAAGCAGGCAGGCAGGCTGAAAGAGAGAGAGAGAGAGAGCAGGGTATGATGCCAGCTGGGACCAGGTACCCAGGGCAAGGCAGGCGGCGGCTAAGGATGCAGGCATCATTTCGCATCTCTCTCTTTGGACTAGGTCATGACGGATTGCCGGTGCCATACTACTACTCTTTTTTTTTTAGTGTCATCATTACCATCCAAGAGGAAAAAACTAAAATCTCCCACGATCCGCACACACCCCAGTCCCCCCCTTCTTCTCTGTAGGTCACGGCACGGCGCTAGTAAGGGAAGAAATAATCATGTCGGCGTTGTTATTGTCTGGTCCTAGCTGTCTTCCAACGTTATGCTGCTTGCTTGCTCGTTGACCCCGGTCTCCAGCTGGGACGCGGGTCTCGCCTATCATTCAGTTGGACCGTTACCCATGTGCGACTGCTGGCGGGTGTACCGTACCATAAACGTCGGTCGAGTCCTTCTTCTGTATTTCCTTTTCTCTCTACGTGCAGTATAGTATGTCTATCTGCCTTGGTAATCAGGCATTGAAAAAAAACAACAACACCCATATGCGAGTGACATTGGTGACGACACTGACAAGTGACGACAAGTCAACGTATACTTCTTCTTTCATCCAGAGGTGGTAGGACAAGACGGCATGACGAGCAGAAAGCATAGCGCGGACTTGCTCTGCACGAGGCTTCTCCCATGGCTCTCGCTCAATTACGTGGCCTGTTCGGTCTTCCCGCTGTTCGCCACCCACAGTTCCTCCTGTCATGCCTGTCATGGGATGTCTTCTGGTGCTGGGTCCCCGGTGCTATGCTGGGTAGGGTTATGTCGCGAAAACCTTGTGAGGTGGTTTCCGTCTACGGGGGGGGGTACGAGGACTACGCTGTTGCTTCCAGAAAAGCCTCATGTCCGGGATCCACGTGACTTGCACTCGAACGAACCCCTATTCTCTGTACAACCTGTACAGATTAGATGGCTTTCTTCCTCTCCGCTGAGGTAACGACTGTCAGAGACTTCGGCTATAGGCGTATCTGTATACCTATCACACGTACGTTGTACGAAGGGTCACTGGTGGAGTCAGATACGCGACAACGTATTACTTGGCATTGTGATGCGCAAAAGGGGGAAAGTATACATCGTCATGCTTTACTCGTGCACTCCTCGGCAATACTCTATACTACTTGCGCTGCTATTACTGCTAGCAGTATTATTAGTGAGAAGTATGAGTGCCGAGTAGTAGATTCCAGAGATCCGACCGGATTGAAGCGGGACTACGACTGCCAAGACGCCACCTCCAGCTTGTGGAGATGGACCGGATAGCTAATGGCACTTGTCAAGTAATATTACTATGACGTGGGTCTCGTGGGCAGTCTTGCTCTCTCTCTCTCTCTTTTCAACCAATGTTCTGCTTTCTTCTTACAATTTTATGACACTGCATGTACAGGCATCAGTTACTCTTTTTGGCTGCTCGCGTAGATGGGTGTATGGGATGATTGACGTGTTCTTCAACGCGGGGGAGACGTCCCGTACATTGAATTGAATTCGACCGACAAGTTTCCGTACTACTAGTACGTGTACATGTGGTTCATGGACTGAGTATATAAAAAAACAAACAAAAAACAAACAAAAAATCGATAAAATCAAAAGTACCAAAATATACCATCCTCATACCCGTACTCTCTCTTCTCGATACGGGCCAATACCACCCTTCCGAAAGCTACGGACCTGCATCGAGTGCTGCTTTGGGGCGGGATGGGGATGGGGATGGGGAGGGGGGCTTGATTGTGGCGCAAGCTTTCCATTGATACTATTACATATTATTCCCAAGGCCCTCCTCACTTCCAGCTGTGAAGCCAACACACCCCGCCTTCAGCACAGGCGCCACATCGGTCGACTCCGCTTTCCCATCCTAGGCTAAGCCACATCTCTCACGATTGCACAATTGAATACCATCCACGGAGCATCAGCACAGCTGCATCTGCATCGGAGTGTTGCTGATCGGGGAGGGGACGAGAAGGCGGTATCCGGTGATCCACTCTCCATCTCACCGGGGGTCTGAAGCTCTCCACTCTTGGCTTCCGCCTCTGTCCCTCTGCCTCTGAGCCAGATCAGCATCGACTGCGTCATGATAAGGCTGTCGGGCTTGACGGCATCCTCATGTGATATCAAGTTGAGGAGGCGGTGACGACCATCGGCTTTGCCACACCTTTTTTTTTTCTTCTTCCTCCTTTTTCCCTTCTGTTTCTAGCTGTCTGGTTCCGACACACGCTCTCTCTTCCGGGTACTCCTTTCTGCCGGCTCTTTTGTTGCCCGGTCTCTGACGACGCTCTCTACTTCTTGACTATCCGCCTCTGACCATCTGCTCTGACTTTCTTGGAATGGATCCCTGTAATTTCCAGCTTTTACCTGTACATGTTTACACGTATCATTATATATATGCACACGCCCCCTTTCCCACTTCCGCCCCACACGGCGAGTTCAGCTGCAAGACCCAGCTGGACGATCGGAATCTTGCATGCCGTCCAATCAGGCCGACCTTGAACCTACTTGACTCTCCCTGCCTCTCTATCTACTCTATCCGTTCTTTTAGAGCCTAGAATTCTGCCTGTACTTGTTTATGGCTAGCACTGGTAAAGTAGTGAGATTACTTCCCCCCCGCCACCAAGATTGCTGAACCCACTATACATGGCCCGTCGACCGGACCTCCTCACCATCCCCATCTCATTTCCCAGTAGGTGAGAGCCAGTCCAGTCATGAGATGCCGTCACCTGTATGGTGCATCACTGCTGAATAGCCATCTTTTTAAACGTCCAACTTCAGGTTAGATCTTGTTGAACGAAAACACGTCAATCTCCGTCCTCTCTTGCTTCCTGTCCTGGGTTAGTACGGGGAATAGTGATACCTTCTTGATGTATCTATCCGGATAAGAAGAGAAACAGACCAACATACCAAGCAATGGGTCTAATACAACTTGGACGATGCCCCGAGACTTAGCAATCACCTAATACAAAAGACAAAAGGGGGGGGGAGAGGGGAGGTTAACCCCAAATTGGAGCCTTACCGGTCGACCGACCGATTTCTTTGTCTCTTCTCTATCGGTCTCTGCTCTATTCTGCTCTCTTCAGTCAAGGAGAGCAAGAGTACTCGTACCTCAAAACCCGAACAAGATGCTCATCTCTAGCGCGCGCATTTAATTCTCTCACTCTGCGCTCTCACTTAGTCCAATCACCGACGAGCCGCTCGGTTACCATTCTGCTCCTCTTTCTTTCTTTCTATTTCTTACGGTGACCAGTCCATGTAGACAGGACGAATCTATATGTCTACTTTTCTTTTCCATACTATTGACTCAACAACAGCCACCCGCCACCCTTTCAACTTTCATCCCGGCTGTTGCACGGTAATCCGGGGAGAGAGAGAGAGAGAGAGAGAGAAACGTACTGACTTTCGGTTATCTGGTCCTTTAACACCCCCCCCCCCCCCTGCTCTCTCCCCCGACGGCTGAACCCCCTGTCAATTTCTTTTTTTAGCCCTTGTCTGCCGATTAGTAGATCTCATCTCATCCTTGCTAGTACATGTACACATCTACAATTGTATTTTTTCTTACTATTATTACTTTCTTGTCCTGGTTCTTCGTTTCTTCTCATTATTCATTCTCTTTTACCCGTATGTTATTTGACTTCTTCTTCTATACCATACTGCATTGGCAGAACAGACGCAGGTAGTCGTAATGTTCATCAAGCTAGTATGTAAAGATCCTCCCTTAAGCCAACCTCTTTTGATCAGTGATTCGTGCACAATGTGCATGTGACATGCATATACAGCTCGCTTGCTAGGGTAAACCTGATGAATTTCCTCTCACGAACATACTGCAACATGCGATAACGATAGCTCAACTTGTTGTAGACCATACGGTTGGGAGGCATAGCTTCACTCCTGCCTGACCTGACCTGACCTGGCCTTCCACCATCGGGATGTCCATAACCAGGTACGACGAGAACGACGAGTACGACGTAAAGAACAAGTACGAGAAGAAGTAATCGCCTTTATAGGCACATCTAGCATCCAGCAAAAATCCCCCCCTTGACTTTTTCTTTTTTTTGCGTGCCGTACTCGGCAAGACTAACCACCACCTTGATACTACCAAATAGTACTACTCCAGTACTAGGCCCTCGCGAGACTTGCGCGTCACGCCCACATCCAACATCACGTTTATTCGACAAGGCACACATCTCTCTTCTTACAAATAAACATTTTCTTCATTCCAATATCGTTTCAGTCAACGTGTAACAGTGAGCAAATAAATGAGACATGAAAAAAACTAAACTACCCTTTGAACAAACCATACAAAACCCGAGCCCAAATAAACCAACCCTAGTCATGACAGCTCTGATCACCTATGCACCAAGTGTATGCGGCCATCATTGCACGTGATATAAAACAAGACGTAAATAAAGAAAGGGTCTCCCCCCCCCCCCACACACACACACATGTTTACAATGCATCCATTAGTGCACATCTCGTCATCCATTACTCCAAAAGAAAGTACTCGTAGCATCCTTCCGTCCCCCACCTTCTCGCTCATACGCTGCGCTTAACCGCTGCACATGACACACGACTCGGGGTTCTCAATGCTGCCTATATAGTTCGTCAGTAAAACGTGTTGTGGGAGAAAAACAAAAAGGAAACAGAGTGCTACTCACAGGCAACGGCGGCTTCCGAGTAGATGTCGCGCTCGCGGTCCCCATCCTTGTCCTCCTCCTGATTGCTCTCCTTGCTAGGCTCGCGAAGCTCTTCCTCCTCAACCTTGCCCGTGGGCTCGGTGGGGAGGGCGCGCGGGCTGTCGCCCCCGGCAACGTCAGCCTTCATCTCGGCAGACTTGCTGGGAGACGCCGCGGCCCGAGGCTGCTGCTGTCCCAAGAGGGCAGGTGGGGGAGTCTGAGTCGGCGTGGGGATGCCGTTGCTCAGAGAGTTACCGGAGCCGGAGCCGGCCATCGCAGTGCTGGCGCGAGGCACGGCGGACGGCGACGACACGTAGCTGGTGCCGGCGGGGGCGGTGCGCTTCTTGAGGGTGCGGTCCTTGGCCACCGTGGTGTCGTCCACCTTGAGGGCCTGCTGGTCCACGGTGAACTGGATGGGGGCGGCGGCGGCCGTGGTGCGCAGGTAGTACATGCCCGTCTTGAGACCCAGCTTCCACCCGGCAAAGTGCATGCTGGTAATCTTGCCCATGGTGGGGTCCTTCATGTGGATGTTGAGAGACTGCGACTGATCGATAAAGGCACCACGGTCGGCAGCCATCTGCACGACGTGGCGCTGGGAAATCTCCCATACCGTCTTGTACAGGGCCTTGACATCGTCGGGGATGTTGGGGATGTTCTGGATCGAGCCGTTTTCAGCAATAATGCGGTTCTTCATGGCGTCGGACCACAGGCCGAGCTCGACCAGGTCCTTGAGCAGCCAGGGGTTGACAACCTGGAACTCGCCGGCCAGGACACGGCGCGAGTAGATGTTGGACGTGTAGGGCTCGAAGCACTCATTGTTGCCCAGGATCTGCGACGTGCTGGCCGTGGGCATGGGGGCCACAAGTAGAGAGTTGCGCGTGCCGTGCTCCTTGACCTGCTCCTTGAGCGACTCCCACTCCCACAGGTCCGAGGGCTTGACGTCCCACATGTCGAACTGCAGGATACCCTTGGAGGCGGGCGAGCCCTGGAAGGTCTGGTAGGGGCCCTCCTGCTTCGCCAGCTCCACCGACTCCGTCACGGCGGCGTGGTAGATGGTCTCAAAGATCTGCAGGTTCAGCTGACGGGCCTCGGGCGACTCAAAGGGCATGCGCAGAGCCAGGAAGGCGTCGGCGAGACCCTGGATACCGAGGCCAATGGGGCGGTGGCGCATGTTGCTGTTGCGGGCCTCCTCGACGGGGTAGTAGTTGACGTCAATGATCCTGTTGAGGTTGCGGACGACGACACGCGTCACCTCGTGCAGCTTGTTGAAGTCGTAGCAGGCGTTGTCGTAGTCGACAAAGGCCGGCAGGGCCAGAGAGGCCAGGTTGCAGACGGCGACTTCATCGGGGGCCGAGTACTCAACAATCTCGGTGCAGAGGTTCGAGCTGCGGATGGTACCCAGGTTCTTCTGGTTGCTCTTGCGGTTGCAGTGGTCCTTGTAGAGCATAAATGGGTTACCAGTCTCGGTCTGAGCCTCAAGGATGGAGTACCAAAGCTTCTGAGCGCGGATCGTCTTGCGGCCGCGACCCTCCTTCTCGTACTTCTCGTACAGGGCCTCGAATTCCTCGCCGTAGACGTCAGCCAGGCCGGGGCACTCGCTGGGGCACATGAGCGTCCAGTCGCCGTTCTTCTCAACACGCTTCATGAAGAGGTCGGGAATCCAGAGGGCCAGGAATAGGTCGCGGGCACGGACCTCCTCCTTGCCATGGTTCTTGCGGAGGTCAAGGAACTCGAAGACGTCGGCGTGCCAAGGCTCGAGGTATATGCAGAAAGCACCGGGACGCTTGTTACCACCCTGGTCGACGTAGCGGGCCGTGTTGTTGTAGACACGTAGCATAGGGACGATACCATTGGAGGTGCCGTTGGTGCCGGCAATGTAGGAGCCCGTGGCGCGGATGCGGTGGACGTTGAGGCCGATGCCACCGGCCGTCTTGGAGATCATGGCACACGTCTTGAGGGTATCGTATATGCCGTCAATGCTGTCCTCCTTCATATCGACGAGGAAGCACGAGGACAGCTGGGCCTGAGGGGTACCGGCGTTGAAAAGGGTGGGAGATGCGTGGGTGAAGCACTTGTTGGACATGAGGTTGTATGTCTCGATGACACGCTCGATGTTGTCACCCCAGATGCCGACGGCAACACGCATGATCATGTGCTGGGGACGCTCGACAATCTTGCCATTGAGCTTGAGCAGGTAGGAGCGCTCAAGGGTCTTGAAGCCGAAGTACTGGTAGTTGAAGTCACGGTCGTAGACAATGGCCGAGTCGAGCTCGTCCTTGTGACGCATGACACAGTCATACGTCTCCTGCGAGATCATGGGCGACGCGCGGTCATTCCTGGGGTTGACGTAGTGGTACAGGTCGCTGACGACCGACGACCACTGCTTCTTGGTCTGCTTGTGAAGGTTGGAGACGGCAATACGGGCTGCGAGGATGGCATAGTCGGGGTGGGTGACGGTCATGTAGGCGGCAGTCTCGGCAGCCTAGAGGAAATTTTTTTTCGTCAGCAACGAGGCCAACAGCCGGGCGGAAAAGGGGAGAGGAAATCAGATCTGAGAAAAAAAAAGCAACTTACGAGATCATCCAGCTGAACAGTCGTCACACCGCCATACACACCGGATATGACTTTCTGGGTGATGGTGACGGGGTCGACATGATCCGCGTCAAGGCCGTAACACAGCCTTGAGACACGGGCAGTGATCTTGTCGAACTGAACGCGCTCCTGGCGTCCATCTGGCAGAGAAAAAGTCAGTACGATGCATCCGTGCAGATGAAGGGGAAAGGAGAACAGCCCCGCCGAGGGGTAGAAAATGAGTTTTCACATACCGCGCTTCCTGACGAACATGTCGGTGAAGATGGGGGCCGGGGGAGGCGGCAGGCGTGGAAGATAGAGAGAAAGAGCAGGTGGAGGGGAATCAAAGCTTCCTGCTATCTTCCGAAACTGAGCCAAGAAAGATGCAAGATTCTCTGAAGGAGAGAGAGAGGAAGTTGTTTTGATGGTTGGGAGGGTGATGTTGATGGGAAGGGAAGAGAACTGAGCCGTTGCAGGTGGTGGAACGAGGTTCTTATGGCCCAGAGCGCGTGGTGGACGCGCGACGCCAAAATTTAGCGCGATAACAATCAATCAATCAGTCGAGTTTGACACGGTCCCGCCCTGGAATCCATTAAAACACCAGTTGTTGCCCCTCGACGAGTCTCTCTCCTTGGGCAACGCTGTAGCAACCATTGCACACCCCTTGTCCAACCCCTTCCATCTTGCCAGGCTCACCCGCCCCCTTCCCAGCCCGTCCGGTGTCGGAGTCATCTGGATAATTTTTTCTGGACCCCCTCAAAAAAAAAAAAAAGCTAACTGTACTACGATTTACAGAGCACACACATCTTCATTCATGTCTTGAATCCGGAAGCAATCGTAATTACGTCTTCTGTTTGTGTCTGTGACCGTGGACCGTGACGCGAACCCTTGTCTTGGCCATATCAGGGCATTATTAAGTAACGTTAGCCCGTAGTCAGTAAAACCACTTAAACGCGCATAGTGGGGTGCCACTTAGGAGGCGCGAGTTCACGTGACATGCTGTTACATTATTAATTGATTTTCTCGTAGTACGAGTACGGATATATTTATGCGCATGTAGTCGGGACCCGGAAAATCATCGGGCCATTGTCTTATTCACGCTTCCATCAATGCACATGTAGGCCACTTCATATACACTCTCACTCACTCGGAGCTGGAGCAGTAGTCCCCAAAATCTATCAAAAGCGTGTATTGGGTGGTACCTGCCATTTATTTCCTTTGTGGTTCTTTCTTTTTTTTTCTTTTCCGTCGATTCTTTCATCCGGTATCACTCTCGTGTGTGTGTGTGTGTGTGACTCGTTTCGATGTTGCCAAGCCGGGTGTTTAATCGATCTCGTCCGCTTTTCTACAAGGCTAGATTCTTGACCACAACCACCACCACCATGGCTTCTCAACCGCCATCCTCGGAAGTAGCATCGACATCGTCTACTTACAAGCCTAGATACATTGATGTACACCTCTCTCTCTCTCTCTCTCTCTCTTCCTCTCTATCGCCCTTGGAGGCGACGGAAATACCATACCTTTCCCCCTCCCCGCCCCTTTCATTCGCCACCTCGACATTCCAGAACTGACAAGAAGACCTCCGTAGATTGGCATTAACCTTGCAGATCCCATATTCCGTGGCATGCATAATGGCAAGCAACGCCATCCAGATGACCTCGAGGCCGTTGTAAGCAGGGCCAAGGAGGTCGGTTGCACTAAGCTCCTGGTGACAGGGTCGGATTTTGCCAGTAATCGGGATGCACTCAAGCTGGCCGAACAGTTCCGTGAGTACAACTATACGTACGCACGGGCAGGACCGGTGAAAGCACGCAAAACAAAGAAGAGGAAGCTGACTACATGATAATGGAAAAAAAAATACAAGCCGGATCCGTATATGCAACTGCCGGAATCCACCCATGCAGCTCCTCCATCTTCAGCTCCGAGTATCACGGCCCATCCCGTCGGTCGTCGGACGCAGGCACCGAAGCGGCGGCAGGCCACAGCACGCCGTGTGACCCCGACCCGTCGGCCCCGCTGCCGGACAGCCACCTTCCGGACCCCACCAAGTCGGCCTCCATCATCGTCAGGCTGACCGACGCCATCAAGTCCGCGCAGTCGTCGTCGCCGGGGCGTCTCGCCGCCTTCGGCGAGTTCGGCCTCGACTACGACCGTCTGCACTACTGCTCCAAGAACGTGCAGCTGCACTCGTTCGCCGCGCAGCTCGAGGTGGCCGCCTCGCTGGAACCGCAGCTCCCGCTGTTCCTGCACTCGCGCGCCGCCCACGACGACTTCGTGCGCCTCCTCAAGGACGCCTTCGGCCCCCGGCTGGAGGGCCTCCGTACCGGCGGCGTGGTGCACAGCTTCACCGGGTCTGCCGAGGAAGCCCGCGAGCTCATGGACCTGGGCCTGTACATTGGCATCAACGGCTGCAGCTTCAAGACGGCTGAGAACTGTGCCGTGGTCAAGGAGGTCGCCCTCGATCGCATCATGCTCGAGACCGACGGGCCCTGGTGTGAGGTCCGTCCCAGTCACGAGGGGTACAAGTATCTCATCGAGAAGAAGGACAGTAGCCAGACTGAGGGTCAGCAACAGGGACAGCAGAAGAAGAAGAATCAGAAAAAGGAACCTGATGTACCAGAACGGTTCAAGGTTGTCAAGAAGGAGAAGTGGGTAGAAGGCGCCATGATCAAGGGCCGCAACGAGCCCTGCAGCATAGAGAGGGTGGCCAAGATTGTCGCTGCCATCAAGGGCGTGACCGTCGAGGACGTCTGCGAGGCAGCATGGCGCAACACAATCAAGGTCTTTGGCCTTGGCGAGCAGGTTGCGTAACCCTTGTCGCAGCTTGTGTTACCACCACCCATCTCACGCCTCTCTCCTTATTACTACTCGACACATACCAGTCTACTCATTACTACCCAATAGATAACACTAGAAATGATGCCCAATGCCCAAGCTACAATGTCGTTATGTCCTTGTCACATGTGTGTGGGAATAGCACGCTATCATTTGACTCATCTCTATCCTCCCAGAGGGGAGGAAGGGGGGGGGGGGGGGGGCATCACATGCCCGACCCCTTGTGCCCTCGTATTCGCCCATTCCTGACCACACCCGTGGTCACACCCTCCTCACCTGTCATCCAGCCTGGCATCCTCTGACCGTCGATGATACCCGCCTCGATAAGCTGCCGTATGCCCGCAAACACATGCGGTCCATTGAACGTCAGCTTGACGGCCGGCGACCACTGTGATGACTCGTCTGCGGCAGCATCGTCATCATCCAGGTCCTGATTTGCCTCTTGTATGGTAGCGTCGACCTTGCTCTTGCGGCGGTTTCCAGCTCCCGGCATACCCTCATTGTCGTCATCGTCGTCGTCAGACCCACCCATGTCATCCTGCGTCGGATACGGGTCTTGCAGGACGACTTCGACCTTCTCAACGCCCTTGTCGTCGCTCACGCGCGCCGAGTCGCCGAAGCGCGCCTCGGCAATGAGCCTGGCACGCTTCCTCTCCCGCTGACCAGGGCCCTTGCGCCTCTGCTGAGCGGCGGAAGACGAGCCCTCTCGTGAGGCCAACAGCAGCGGGGGGGCCGAGGGTATCGAGTCCAGGGGGGACTTCTTCGTCTTGTCGTTTGCGTAGATGCTCCACCCACCGCCGGCGGCGTTCGTCTTCCCCGGACCTTTCTTGTCGAGGAGGGCCCACAGGTTACGGCTGGACAGGCTGGTGGATTTCAGAGTGAAGCGCTCCCGGGGGCGGGACAGGGCCTTGGGCACGCCGTCGACGACCAGGCTCTGCAGACTCCTCGAGTCGCCCAGGGCTACCGGCCCGGTACTGTGCGACTTGGATATGTACAGGGAGGGGGAGCCGTCGGGGAAGGCAAGGTATATGGTGCGCGACGTCTCGAAGTTGGCCACGGACCCTGACTGGTCGATGCTCGAGAGGGCCAGGTCGGTGCTGTAGGGGGAGTCGACGACGAAGATGCGCAGGAGCAGCACGGGGAACGACTCGGGGCGGTAGAAGTGGTAGTGCGCCTTCACGTCGGGAAGTACCTGCTCCTGCAGCGTCTGGAGGAAGGTGGCCGGGTGGAAGCGGGGGATCTTGAGGGACTGCCTGTCTATGCCCAGGACCTGCGGGTCGTCAGGGTCCAGGTCGTCGGCGTTGCCGTGCCGGCCGTTGGGCTGCTGGAGCGGCAGGATCCTGTAGGCGCTCCAGCGCTGCGATGTGGGGTGCTCGTCAAAATAGGCCAGGTCGGCCATGGCGAGCTGGTAGAGCGTCATGCCGTGGCGCCAGTCGCCCTCGAGCATGCGGCTGACCACGTCGCGCTTCGATCCCCTCTGCTGCCTCATGTCCTCGTACGTCTGGCGGAGCTCCTCGACCGTCCGGCTGGCAGGGTATAGGTCGTCCATATCGTCGTCGTCCTCGCCGTCCTCGCCCGGCCGCCGCAGGTACGGAATGGCATTCTGCACGGCCGTGTCGTCCAGCCAGTCCAGCGCTAGCGATATCAGCGCATCACGCGATAAGCGTGTCATGCACTTGATTACGGCTGGGTTGGAGGCGTCGACACGTAGAGTCGAGGGAAGGCGAGCCTTGGTCGGGACGGATATTCGCGGTGGCATGGTTTTTCTGTGCTGCCGAACCGTCGGTCCTTTTCCCCCTGTGCGTGTCCGTGCGTGTCTGTGCAGTACGATGGCAGCAGCTTTGGGCACGGAGTCTACGAGTGTACGGCATGCAGACAAGGCTGCGGCTCAAAGTCAACAAGGCTGTCTCCTCTGCCCCGCGTGGGGACGAGAGGAGACGCGACAGCTACATACATGGGGACGCGTCTTGCGGCTGTTGGAACAAACAGCTGAGTCATCGGTCGGAACTGGTTGTTCCGGCCCGATCGGCAGTAACCCTGCCGATAAAAGACCACTTCTACAGTCACAATTACCCCTTATATATAGATATCGTCAACAACATCAGAATCAACAAGAAAAGAACCTATATTCCTACATCGATAAGTGCGTTAGATTTGCTATTATCATATAATCAATTACACCGGATTATTTCTCTCCCGATCCGGTAATTCAGACGAGCTTTTTGCCGACGTTACTCCACCGCTCCGTCTGACAGGCGCACACCACGTGACGAGTGCATGTACGGCTAAGAAGAGAAGTGAAGTGACTAAGCAGCCTGCTGATGTAATTGTAAGACGCACCACACGTACATGCCATTTGACAATTGTTCGTATGGATGATGTATTATACTGTAATACCGCCGAGTATAGTTGCTTGGCGATGAGTTTAATATTAATATATGAGTTGACGATGGACTATGGCGGTAGATTTCGTCGGTAAATTCCACAAGACCCAATAGAATAGAGTCGATAGCATCGTCATAGGCATCTCCTAATATTTTGTCATTGGCATTACCGGGCAGTAGGTCATGGTCAACCGTCATTGGACTGGAGGACCTATTAGCGGCATCCCCGGTTGGGTTGGGGGAGATGGCGACATTGCACGTGTGCCGCAGGTTAAGTGGGCTGTGGTCCGTGAGAAACGGAGCTCTCGTATATGTACAGATGTACTCGGCCAAGAGGTAGCTGCAGCCTGCAGGTTGGTATGCTGGTATGCTTGGTACGGAGCCCGCTTACGAAATATTATTGTTGTTTCTTTCCTTTTTGCCGACAGTGGCCGAGGACAATATACGGGGCATATGAGTTGTGAGAACATCAGTCGATGATGAGAACATCAGTGAGGAGGCCCTTTGCGACAAGTAAGGACAGACACGAGTGCAAGTCTGAGTACCAGCCATGACACCAATCAGCCACGGAACGACTGCCGCATAGGGGGGATTGAAGAATAGAGAAGAAGGAATCGTGACATCGAATCACCGTCATTCGACCAAAGCCACGAGGACCTGTACAACAGACATTCCTTGAATCGGGAATAAAAAAGGGTAAGCATTGCAGACAGAGTAGTATTATGAGTACTCATTATGAGTACTCGTAACTACAGCGTATTTAATATAATGCGACACTGGTAAGCCGAAGGTCGGTTACAATCTACAGATTACCGGGGGGGGGGGGGGGGGGGGGGGTAGAGGGGCACAGTGCGCAGTCCCTCTTTTATTTTTCTTCAAATCGTGAGAAGGCTAGGTCCGTCGTAAAACATGACACTCCTGCTACGCTGTAACCTGCAAGGATAGGTGAAGGAAGGTGTAACCTAAAGAGGGAGACGAGTGTGGCCGGCGCCTAGGTCGGTTAATAATGGTCTGGTCCCTTGTACTACAAGCGGATTGCCCGCCGCGCATGAGGGACCATGTCCATATGTAGCCTTCGGTGGAGGCGCAATGATCTGGACCCTGAATGCTTTCACTGGTAGGTTACTATTCCATGAAGCCAACAGCATCTGATGGCGGCTGACTCCGTTTGTCCCAAGAAATTTGCGGCCTGCAGAAGAAAAAAGCAAATCCACCATCCTTGTTGGAATAAAGGTATGGAGTTGACGTCAGGAAAAGAAGAAGCAAAAAAAAAAAAAAAAAACACCTCAATACCTTATCCTTCGCCTGCATCTTGATGTGCACAGATAAAGGAGGAGGAGGAGGAGGAGCAGGAGGTAGCAATAGCTAAAAGAAAAAGAAGAAAAAGGAGAAAAAAAAAAGAACATGAATTATTCAGAAGATGACAAGAGGGGCGTGAAAAGGCCACACACACAAAAGGTGATTTTTTTCCCTCCCTTTTGCCACTACGCCAAATAGAGGCAAAAAATAACCAGAAAGAGACTTTCCGATATTTGCCCCTCCCCCTCCGCCGTATCCCGGTAGAATAGAGAAGGCTTGACTTGATGAAAGGTGTGCATCGATTCAGAGTGACAATGTCTGTCGGTGTTGTGGGACAGAGGACAGACTAAACCCGAGATGGGCATAAACATGTACTAATAAATAGAAAGCACAGTGGGGGCGCCCACAGCCTCGACTTGAGAGAGGATGCAGAAGTGGGAGAGAGAGAGGGAGAGAGAGAGAGAGAGGGAGGGAGGGAGGTAGGAAACCCCCACCTCTACTGATAGCAATCCGTACATATGACCGTCGCCTACGAGTACAGCCTAATAATACTGGCTACAGCTCACCCGCAATCCATGGTGGTAATATTAGTGATCTGTTGGCTGTTAGGATGTCCTCTTAGTAGGTTACATCAGGGCTTCAGGGAAGGTAACTGCACCAAGATAGAGCCCCCCCCCCAAGTGCCCCCACTGAGATTCGGTGTGTGTGGCGTACAGTACCCAAATACAGTGCGTTCGCCAACCCCGCCAGGTTGCCCTGGGAGGGGCCCACAAGAATTTGCTGTCTGCAGCCCATGAGAAAAGCCGCAGTCGGAAGTCCACGACCTCATCAAGTCTTTGGGTCCCCTCTGCCCCCCGCTACGAAATTCAGCACCACCTGATCTAAAACCGTCCCATCGACCTTCTCTTTCTTTCTGCCTTTCATCGTCTGGAGGTTAGAACAGAACTTCAACAAACACCGCGCTTCGAGAACGCTTCAAAAGCTGCTGCGTTCCTCCTTCGACCCGCTCGACCGCCTACGGTGCACATTTATTTGTTCTTCGCAACACGGCCTCGTGTGACGTGTCTCGGCAACCCGAGTCGCTTCATTCTTCCAAAACCGCCCGCCGCTTGGCGTAACGAAAACACCCACCGCTGACCGACGTTGAAAAGAGTGCGCCCGCGACGCCGCTCGCCGCCGCCGGACATCACTTTTTCCCCAACTATTTCGAATCCTCGCAAGGAACCACGAGAAAAAAAACAATGCCTCCTTACTCTGGACGCAAAGGCCCCAACATGTCCCAGTACCTGAGGGACCTTAACGCCGTCAGTCCCCAGGACGCGGCTGGCGACGATGGCATCGAGATTCAGGAAGACCTCTCTTTCTTCGCAAACACCCAGTTCTATGATCTCGATTCCGGACAGAACACCGACTACCAGGCACCTCCCGTCAAGCCCGAGGCCGTCTCCCAGGCACCCGAGCCTACGTCTGTCATGGGCGAGATGTCAAGCATCGACTTCATGAATGGTGAGTTTCTCACATCCACATTGGGTAACAACCCACGAACTTTTTCTTTTCCTTCACTCTTCTTTCCCCCTCCTTCTTCTTCAGCCTCAGCCCCAATCCCCCCAGAGCGCTGTCTGCGGTGCAGGCGGAGAATTTTTGTCTGTGCGTGGTCCAAAGGAATGGCATACCCTTTCGGATGGGTTGCATCTACGGTCAACAAAAACACTATAGTCTCCTACCCCACCAGCCAACCATCTACGAGGCGAGAAAAAAAAAGAAAGGAAAAAATCCTTCCCTCCCGCGAAAAGCCTTTGCTTTCCGAAATGGCCTCATCCTACCTGGTTCTCGCGAACTGCTACCCCCCCTGAGAAGTCTGCAGCAAGCGCTGCGGGCTGCTGGCACACTGCCGATGATAACGTTTGATGCCCTTGCGAAGACGCAATCGCGGAGCCATGTCATAGGCTGCGAGGGTGGGGCATCGACTACAAAAGTGTCGATGACAAATATCCTCCCCTGATGGCGCAATACCCCGTGATATGCCTCCGCATCGCCGGCGCATCATTGGCACCATCAAACCAAAGAGTCCTGGCTGCTGGCTCACCAGCTCATCACTCGATGCCCCACCCCCAGTGTCCATCTGTCCCCTCCCCCCAATCGAGAGCACTATGAGGTTTCCTAATCGGGCGTATCATACTTCACACAATATCCTTCTTGTTCTCCCCCCCCCTTGAAGACCTTCCTCTCTCCTCCCCTTTCTCATCCCGAGAATGGCCCTGATCCTCCCCTCGCTCTTGAATGAGAGCCATTCTTCAGATTATCACTACCAAACAAAGCAGCATCGCTGACATTCTCTACCCACGGTCCTCAACAGGCGACTTCAACTTCTCCGACTTCAATGCTTACACGGGCTCTCCGATGAACTCCTTCAGCGAGGGCCCCACCGGCTTCCAGTCCATCCAGCCTAGCCACGGCCCCATCTACGGCGGCCACGGCCACGGACACCAGGGCGCCTTCCCACAGCCCCCTCGCGCCTCCATCAAGACCACCGGCGAGAAGCGCAAGTCGTCGGACGTCTCGGCTGTCAGCACGCCGGCCATCGGCCACGGCGACCACGACGATGAATCGCGCATCACTGCCGAAGAAGACAAGCGCAGGCGCAACACGGCCGCCAGCGCCCGCTTCCGCGTCAAGAAGAAGCAGCGCGAGCAAGCCCTCGAGAAGTCTGCCAAGGAGATGTCGGACAAGGTCCTGGCTCTCGAGTCGCGCGTCTCCCAGCTCGAGACGGAGAACAAGTGGCTCAAGAACCTCCTGGTCGAGAAGAATGAGGGCAATGAGGACATAACCGCTCTTTGGAAGGAGTTTACGCAAAAGGTGTCCAGCCGTCGACCCAGAGCGGAGGCCGCATAGTCTCGACTCATTTACATACGCGACTGAACATTCTCTTCTTTCCCCTTTTCAAACTCTCCCTAGGTGGGGATGGAGTTCTTCTATAACTTATTTCATGAAGGAGTCTCTACCATGAGATTCCTCCAGGGCGGCGTTGTCTATCTATGGGGCGGGAAGGTGTGCGGTTGGCTCCAACATTTATCATGTCTCATGTCCTTTTATTTTTTCTTCAACTGGCGTTTTTCAAACCACTCACCTGATGAGTGTGGAAATGGTGGAGGGACCGTTTCAGATTATATCTTGGGAAATGGGGATGAATTTTAACGCGGTAAAGTCGGGGTTGTAGTGGACACCCGCAGGAATATCACATATATATATATATATATATATATATTTATATATATACATACACGCATGTGTCTTTGTTCTCTTAAGAGAGAGAGAAAAGAAGAAAAGTGATGTACGCTTTCTACATGCACTCTTACATTCATCACGTGTAGCAATACGACCACGATCACATGCATGGCCTCGATACATGGAGCCTATGAACGACCCTCGGTCCTCAGAACCTCGAGTCTAGCCTTGTTCCGCCTCTTGAGCAGGAGAAGTGTAGCCTCCCTCTCGTGAGCCGTCATGCCAGCCCAGTTGGCCACCAGACCCGTCGTGCCGTCCGCGTTGACCACCACCGGCCCCAGACCGGATAGCTTGGCTGTCGACCCGTCCGGACCGCTGACGTCTAGTCTTGTGGGTGATTCATCTTGGCCCGGAGCGGGTAGACTCTTGATATTTTTTGGTGTGCTGCTGCTGCTGCTGCTGTTGTTGTTGCTGTCGTTGTTGCTGTCGTTGTTGCTGTTGTCGTTGCTGTTGTTGTTGCTGTTGTTGTTGCTGTTGTTGTTGCTGTTGTTGTTGCTGTTGTCGTCGTCTTGCAGCAGCAGCAGCTGCTGCTGCTGTTGTTGTTGTTGTTGTTGTTGTTGTTGGTGTGACGTAGATGGCTTCTGAGAGTACCATCTGCTCGGGTATCCCAGTGTGCGTTTGAGAATGTGGCGTCTTAGGGGGAGCATTGTTATGTGTGTGTGTGTGTGTGTGTGTGTTTTGGTTATTGTGTGGATGCGTGGTGCGTGGTGTGTTTTGAGGATGAGAAAAGAGAAGAAGAAGGAAGAAAAAGTTAGAAGTTGTCGTCGTCGTAGTTGTTTGGAGAAGAAAAAGAAAGAAATAAAACAGAAAGAAGGAGATAGAAAAAGGGTTGGTGGGACCGCCGGGACCGGGTGCCTCGTTGTGGCGTCCGGGGGGGTTATGGTGCCTTACGCGCATGTATGGAGTATTTATACAAGGTACGGGTACAGGTTACATGCACAGGAGATTCACGGCTCGAGCCCCTTGTACTTCTGCATGTAGAATCATGTACTTACAACCCGGCTGGATACATGACGGGATGGATCAGAACTCCCTTCTATATAGTGGCACTGACGGTAGATGTAGATTCGCAATTTCACTATAATCTATCTATCTGGAAGGTCATGACGCTTAAGTCAGTAGCTACTAGTCTACTACAGCAAGGGGGGGGGTAATACACCACAGCGTTGTATCGTTACCTACTATTACTACCTTCATACTACAACTTCCATAAGTGGTACCACTGTTAGTAACAACATGCAGACCATACTTGTGTTGTGTCAATATCAATGTGCATTGAAGAGAAAGGAAAGGGATAAGAGGAAAGATGAAGAGATAAAGCTCGTTTCTGAAATAATGCAAATGTTCCGCTATTCATTGTACTTTTTTTTTCCCCTGTGCTCTATTGCATTCAGGTGCTGGATGGACGGGATAAACTTGGGGTTGAATGGAGTCATGGACAGCATTTATGCCTTGTTACGGTGCCTGTGAATATGTCAGTTCGAATGTACCAATGCGAATTGATGGGAGGAGCACGACAGCAGCGGGGATACAAGTAACGAAGAAGACAGAAGGAGGAGAGATAAGGGGCGAGAGAGCTTACTTGTTGACAACACGCTCGATACCGTCAAGACCCTTCTTGAGAATATCAATCTTAGGACCGTACGAGAAGCGGACGAAGTGGTGACAGGGGCTGTCGAAGAGATCACGACGACGTGAAGGGTTCAGGTCAAAGAAGATGCCGGGAACGACAATGACCTTTTCCTCCAGGCAGGCCTGGAAGAAGTTGAGGCCGTCCGAGATGGACTCGGGGAGACCCTCGAGGTTGAGCCATAGATAAAAGGTCGAGTCGGGCACGTACTTGATGACGAAGCCCATCTCGCGCAGGCGGCTGACCACCATGTCACGCTTGTCCTGTTTGAATCTGTCAGTTTGGTCACGTTCAGACGACACATGGTCATGGAGGGGGGAGTGTATGCCAGTCAGAGAGAGAGAGAGAGAGAGAGATGGATAAAGATGAAACATACACGGAAGTGGCGCTGGAGGTGAATCATCTCGTGCTGGACGACAGAAGGCTCGAGCATGGGAATGGCAGCCTCCTGGAAGGGGTGGGCGGCACCACCGTCGAGGTAAGAACCGCAAGAGCCGATGCTAGAGGGGGGAGGGGGGGGATGTTAGGCGAAAACCCGACGATATACTCTTGACCGAGTTGAGGTATACAACTTACGCAGAAATGTACTCTAGAATGGTTGTCAGTATGGTTCTTTCCTCTCAATCGGGGAAGGGGCTCTGCTTGCCTTTGGGGCCGAGGATCCAAGCGATACGCCATCCGGGAAGACGGAACCTCTTGGTCAGACCGTCGATGATGAGGACATCGTCCTCGTCGACATCCTCGACATTCTCGGCGGCCGAGATGGTGGTACCGTCGCAGTTGCTGGTGTAGTTGTAGCCCGAGTAGAACTCGTCACTGATGAGGGTGGCGCGGCCACGGCAGATGTCCTGGATCTCAGCCAGCTCAGGGTTGGCGACGACGCGGCCGGTGGGGTTGCGGGGGTTGGAGGTCAGGATGACCGAGGTGCCGCGGGCAATCTCCTCGGCAATCTTGTCGGGGTGAATGTGGTAGCCGTCTTCCTCGGAGAGGGGGACAGGAACAGCGGCGAACTGTTGGCCAAGAGGTCGTCAGCGTGGACCGCTCTCAACGATGCGGGTACAGGTAGCAGACAGGCATGTGCATGCCGTAATACATCGAGCAAGAGGCTGTCTGGTGGTCGGGTCATGGCCAGGGCTTGGGAAGGGAGGGGAATCGACTGACGTTCTTGAACAGACTCAGCATCTCATTGTAGGCCGTGTAGTCGGGCAGGAAGAAACTGAGGTAGGCATTGCCCAGGACGGCGGCGATACGGATCAGGCCAGCACGGCCACCAGGGACAACAGCGACATTCTCCCAGGTGTACTTGCTGTCCTTGTCCTGACGGTGCATCTCATTGTACAGCTTCGCGATGCTCTCGCGCAGGGGCTTGATGCCGGCGGTGGGGCCGTACTCGCGGGCAGCGACGGAGATATCGATGGTCTTGGGGCGCTCGAAGCAGCCGTTGATGTCGTCCTCGACCTCGGGGGCACCCTGGCCCAGATTCGCCCAGGAGTCGGGATCCTCGAGGAAGCCGTACTCGGCGGCGCGCTCGGTGCACCAGATGACACCGGTGGACGACCGCGTGGCGTCGAGGCCGGCATGTGGCATGTGGCCCTCGTGGGCGCTGCGGAACTGGCGGTGGACCTTGGACTTGAGCTCTGATGGAGGGGGGGGGGACACATCGATGCGCCGTTAGTGACTGCATGCTTGCATCGGTCTCGGGGGTTGGTCTCGGTTAGATCGGCCACCCCAGCCGCACCGCGGGACGCAAGGACGAGGGATAGAGAGGAGAGGGAGAGGGAGAGCGGGGTGGGACGGGAAGAGGGTGGTGACGCCTGCGGGGGTCCTTGCTAGCCTCTGGGAATGCGGTGTGCAATGATGGGAGGCCGCAGAGGAACGAGGAGAGCAAGAGGGTTATGGGAAGATCAAGGATGCGAGGAGAAATGCTTCGTTGTGTGTGTGTGTGTGTGTGTGTGTGTTGGTGGTGGCTGGATTCGATTATGGTCGGGACTCACCATTAGCACCAGGTTCCGACGTCATGCTACCACGACGAAGAATGGGCTTGGGCTCGCCGGTGTGGCGGTTGATGGAGAATTTGCGTCCGCCGAAAGACATGGTGGCGACTATGTGAAGGCTGGAGGATGGGTGATGTGTTCCGCTCAGGGCGAGAGGGAGAGAGGGAGAGGGAGAGAGGTGATATCGATGACGATGACTTATACCAGTGGAGTGGTTGGAGGAGAGAGTAAGAGAGAGGGAGTGTGTGTGTGTGTGTGTGTGTGTATGTGCTGGAGAGATGGAAGGAACGAAGCTTTTTATCTTCTTCTTCTCTACCCAGATAAATAGAGAATCAAGTTTCTACATGACCCCTTGGCTCGACTGAAAGAGAGAGGGAGAAAAGGAAAAAGAAAAAAAAAAAAGGAATAAATAAATGAAGGACTCCTAAATTTTCTGGTGCTCTGTTGGACTTCCCCCAGAGTTCTGAGGGCGACGGCACAGCGGGTCCCCTGTCGGTCATGTTCCGGGCCAAGATGAGAGAGCTCGTTGCTGTTTACAGGTACGCGGCCAGGGGCAGCGGAGACGCTGTGGCATCCAACTGGCTCGAGCTGTGAGCTATTGTTTAGTCACAACGTATGAGCTCTCTGTGTATCGTGAGCACCCCAAGGCTCCATCCGACAGTGGTGGCATTCACCAAGCATCATCGGCAACACAGCGTTGCGCGGTGGTCAATGGCCATGCCATCCGTACCCGTACAGTGAAGCGTATGCATGCATGTATCATCGCTTACCGTTACATGCTCAACTTACTTACAGCAGTAATCACGACCATGTCCTCCTCTATCCGTACCGGGTCCCCTATTGGGTTCGACCCCCACTGATGGATCGCTCGCTGCCCATCCGCTACGGGCGGGTTTTGCTCAGTGTTCGGTGTTCCACTGATCATGGCCCACTGCCCAGTCTTCACTCGAGGTGTCCCGCTGCTCGGGCCATCCCCCGGGCCATCCCCCGGGCCATTATTGCCGTTGTAACACGTAGAAGGGTAGGAGGGTGGGTGGCGTCCGTGTCCATGCATGCGAGCTCATAGGCCTGATTGTAGCCTGTACGGATTACAAGGTGAGTACTCACCAGTCCCGTGCTCCGTACTCATGGAGCCTTCAGAAGGGTGTGTAGCATGCACGTTTCACTGCACCCCGCCCAGCCCAGTACCCGTAACCGCCTCAGTCTTTGTATGAGGAACATGAACTCTACTCTGCATCGTGGCATGTCGATACTCTTTCTACTCGTACAGTCTACTACCCACCACGCATCGTTATTATTACCAGCACGCTTGCAGGCTCGCTCCTCGTAATTCTGGACCGCTCTTTTCCCGGCCTGCAATAATCACAATCCCAGCCAGACTGCTCCTGCCGCAGCTTCCTGTGCCGCTCTTGCCATCTTCCCGTTCTTTCCTTTCCGCACCGTCCATTTGCTCATCGACAGGGAGGCTGATCTGCGATCGGGCCTGACGTCGCTGATGCCATCCGCTGGGTCACGTCTTACGGGTTACAGGCCACAGGTCACAGGCTGTGACCCAGGGCCCAGAGGTCGGTCACCATTTGCCAGCTTAGCTGTGAGGAAAGTTCCATTGCTGTCCCATCACTGCTAGCAGGTATCGGTAGTAATATTATTGCTCGTATTATACTATACTACTTTAGCTTACTAGTGTTATTTGCCAAGTCCTACCAACTGCCAACTAGCTGACTGCATCAGCCATCAGATGAGCTCCCTCCGTACGAGTGATGCTGCGCTCTCTCTCCCTGCTGAGCGGCAATACCTGGGTTACTCGTAATAACTCCGCAGACAAGGCACATCCTGCCCCTTTCACGCTGACCAACAACGGGGCATCCTCTGGCTGGCATCAATCGTACCACCCGCCGCACCTACGACGCTATCAGTATCAGCTTGCTCGCGACCGTGGCATAGCCCTTGTTTCAACCTGATCCTACAGTTCAAGTCCTCAAGAGAGGGCATGGGAAGCAGTTTAGGCTGGTGTTCCTGCCTGACTTCGATGGCATTGACATGTAGATCCGCTTTACCACGTCGGGCGTATTTGTGGCGGTGCATAGCGCCTAATCTTTTGCCTGCCACCCAGTGCTGCATGGGTGAGCTCCCCCCGGCCTGTGGATGAGGTGGCGGGGCTGTGTAGCTCTACGGGACAGCGATACAATATCAGACACCCGCTGAGTTGAGCCAGCCATGCCGATATGGAAATCCCTCCCCCGGACATCCCCAGAACCACCAACCGCCATCCACCATGATGCATACTGTCAACCATTACAACTCCAGGAGAAAAGCATGTGATGATTCTCTGCTCTACTCCTCCAATCAGACTATGCCGGGCGCATAAGGCTGACGGATAGATCGCACAACGTAACACTGAGGCCCTGAAGGCATCGTCACCGGCGTACTGCTGGTAACACTACTAACATGTAGTAGTAGTAGTAGTAGTAGACATGACGTCGCTCACAGCCCAGACCCTACATGATATGCCTCTCTGCGAACATCGGTAGCAACCTATACTCTTTGCAAGGCATAATCGGGTCTCACACTACATCGTTCACATTGACCGACTTGGACAGCATATATACCTCCAGACTCTTTGCCATCTGGTCTCATCAATCATCAGCACCAACATCAAACATAGCAAGTCCCGCATATCGGACAACACCCAACACATGCACACATACACACAACACACACACACAGAACACAATGAGCCGCTTCTTCGGATCAATCAAGACCAAGGTATTCCAGAAGACCGCCACGGCCAATGACAGTGACACCATTCCCGGCTACTCGCCTCCCACAATCATGGGTAAATAGATCTTCAATTCCACCCATATATCGACCATACGAGACGTCACCGCAAGCGGTGCAATACAGCGAAGCTGACAGCCTCCTCCCGACATCTCAGATGACCTTCCTCCAGCCTACTCTGCCACCTCCCCAGTCATCTACAAGGCCACCGCCGACGGCAACAGCAGTCCCGCCTTCCGCTTCCGCGACAGCGGCATAACCAACGACGACGACAGATACGCCTTCCTGAGCACCTTTGACACCGTCTTCCTGATCGACGACTCGGGCTCCATGACGGGTCGCAGCTGGCGAGAGGCGCGTCGGGTACTGTCCCAGATCACGAGCGTGTGCACGGCCCACGACGTCGACGGCGTAGACATGTACTTCCTCAACCACCGGTCCGCCACGCACCGCGACGGCGGGTACCACAACGTGACGGACCCCGCGGCGGCCTCCCGCATCTTCGGCTCGGTGAGCCCCCGGTCCGTCACCATGACGGGCGCGCGCCTCTGGCACATACTGCGGCCCTACGTCGACCGGGTCGCGGCCGCCCACGACGTCGACGACGTCAGGCCCGTCAACGTCATCGTCATCACCGACGGCGCCCCCACCGACGACCCGGAGTCCGTCATCGTCCAGCTCGCCCGCCGCCTCGACGCCCTCGACGCCCCGCTCTACCAGGTCGGCATCCAGTTCTTCCAGGTCGGCTCCATGCCCGACGCGCGCGACGCCCTCCGCCACCTCGACGACAGCCTCACCGACATGGGCATCCGCGACATGGTCGACACCGCCACCTGGGACGGCGGGGACCGCTCCTGCGGCACAGGCGTGCTGACCGCGGACGGCATCCTCAAGGTCGTCCTCGGTGCTGTGGTGCGCAGGATCGATCGTCAGCGTGCTTCGAACGATTGGCCTAGGTGGTAGGGTGCGAAAAGGCCGGGATGGATGGAACGCAAAAAAACGCTCGAGGGGGTTTTGGTACTGTGCCCGCTCAAGACTGCTTACGACGTTGAGGGGATAATACCCGGAGATACATACGGTGCTACTTTACACAATTTGTCCATGTTTTTTATTATGACGCCTCATGACACACACTTTCTTTGCTCTATAGATTTCATTATGACGTTCATCATCTACGATATCTCTTCCATGCTGATCTAACCCCTCTGTCATAATTCCCAAGTCTGTCTCAAAGCAAAGCAATTTCAATGCTAGCAAGTTATCTATCATAGCCTTTGTTCTTTATCATATCTCATGATCCCTGTAAGATGCACCCTTTTTTACCCTTGACCAACCGACACTCAAGTCGTGTGATACTCATGGCAAAAAAAAAGGGAGAAGACAAAAAAGCAAGCCTGTATGTGCAATTAAGGATTTTGCAAGTGTGGATTTGGATCACAGAAAGGAAAGTAAAACAACAACAACAATAATAGTAATACAACTTTTGTACTGTTGCGTATCAAAGAAAACCAAAGACTGTAAAAAGAAAAAAAAACCATATCGAGAGAAAGATAAGAGTGGAAAAAGTGGGGGAAAAAGTAGAAAAAGTAAAAGTAGAAAAGTAGGGGGGGGAGATGAGAGACAAGAAATAGAAAAAGAAGAAAAATCATTGCATGCAAATAACATCAGCATGACAGACAGAGTGAGCAGAAATATTTGACCCCGTATCATTCCGGCAGGTAATGACGGGAGTCGTCACCATGGCCACGCGCCAATGCCTGGTCTGCAGCTCCACGGGGTCCACGTCGACCGGCCAGACGGGCACCATGCTCTGGGTGCTGAAGCGGGTGCCGATCTCGGGGAAACGGAAGTCAAAGGTCAGCCGGCTCGACAGGATCTTGGACGACAGGTCCCAGGCCTTCTCCGCCACGGCAACCAGGTGGCCGTAGGCGTCCTGGGCGCTGGTCCTAGGGTTGAGCAGGGGTCTCAGGCTGTTGAGCAGCATGCCCGAGATCTCCTCCATCTTGCCCTTGTGGAAGGGGGAGGAGGGCGCGTGCTCCTTCATTATGGAGTCGATTATGGCCGACTGTCTATCCAGTAGGGGTTGACGGGAAGATGATGTCTGGCCTGGGAGTTGTCAGTCCTATTAGTCGAACGAAGATGTAGAGAGAAGTATGAGAGAGAGAGAGGGAATGAGAGAGAGAGAGTTTACCGTAATATTGATCACCAGAAGCCCTGGCAAGATCACGCTCCAACTCGACAAGCGCATGCGAAGTATCCACGTCGGCACCCTTCCACGCACCGGGGACCCAAACGAGGTTGACGACGTAGTCGACGACGACGCGCGTCACCAGGCACCTCTTGGAGTTGTGGTCGCGCAGGTGGAACTCGAGGTACGAGGCCGACTCGGCGTCCGACAGCGGCAGGTAGGTGCGCATCAGGATGGGCCAGACGGCCGTATCGGCCAGGGTCCTCTCGGGGTCCTCGGTCATGGGCTGGGCGGCGTGCGCGTCGACAAAGTTTCGTATGGCCGCGTAGAGCTGCGAGATCTGCTCCGACCAAGCCATGACGGACCTCTCGGTCAGCTGGATCGTGGGGCCCATGCGATGCTGGCCTCCGAATGCGACGCCGTTGCGCGTAGGGACCAAGGCGCCACCATTGGCAGAGGTGTGCATCTCTCCAGCTCCTCCGATTCCGACTCCGATTCCGACAGCGGCGGCGTCAAAGTTGGAATACCTACCGCCACCGCGCGTTAACTGCTGAAGATGGTAGGGCTGGTAGAAGTCACCGCGTCCGCTGATGGGGAAGGCCGTTCCCGGACGAGTCAGTCCCAGGCTAAGACCCTGCTGCTGCTGCTGCTCTGCAAACACAGACGTGGTATGCCGACCGAGCTGGTACCCTCTACGCGTTGGGGCGCGACCAGCTGCCCCGACGCTGCTGGTGGGGGACATGAGAGAGCTGCTGGCGCCGGAAGAGGTGCTCCCCCAGCTGGTAAGATGTCGGCTCGTCTGGACCGGGCGGGCTGACGGGGCGCGAGGGGGTCCGGCACCGAGCGGCGAGTAGCCGGTTGGTTGGACCGTCTGGGAACGAAACTCGGTTAGAAGAGGGAAGCACGACTGAGTTGGTCCACGTGCACCGGCGGAACCAGGGGCCGGGGTGGCGGCGTGGGTCCTGTCGATGCCGCGATGGCGGTCCTTGGTGGGGGAGGGCACTCCACCACCGTCGCTGCCGAGATTGGCGCTCTTGAGCTGCTGGGATATTCTCTCTAGGGGCTCCCTGAAGGCCAAGTCGTTGTCGTCCTCCTCGTGCGAGGTAGATACGCAGGCGAGCATCTCCGGCTTTTCCTTGCTCTTCTTGGCCTGTAAGGAGCGTCGATTGTTTAGTTGGGTCTCGAGGTTGTTGATAATGTTTCGGAAGGTCTGGGGTTTCTGTTTTTGGTCTCGTTGTTAGTACTATGCTAAACTCCTTCTGCATCTCCCCCCCACCCCCCCTCTCTCTCTATATGTGTGTGTCTGGGGGGTGGGGGGGGGGGGGGGGGGGGGGGAGGGCGGGGTTTGAGCTGTATAGAGAGAAGACATCATTTATTGCATACCTTGTCCATATCGGTCTGGCTTTCGTCGCCCGAGTCAGCCACTTCGCCGCCCGCCTTGTTGCTGAGGTCCGGGAAGTCGCCAGATACGCGTAGCAAATCGTCAACCATCTTGTTCATGTCGGCCTCTGCCCTGAGACTTCTGTCCCTCTCGTCCGACAGCTCCTTTTCCAGATGGCGGATGGTCTGTCTCCGCTCCTCGAGCGTGGCCTTGGCCACGCTGGCGTCGATGCTGAAGCGGGCGAGCGAGTTGGCAGTCTCCTCCCCGTCGACGGCCAGGTTGGTCAGGGCGTCGACAAGCTGGACAATCTCCTTGTTGACCATGCAGCCCACATCCTTGAGCTTGTTGATGATCTTGTCGGCCTCGGACGACGACACACCCGGCATGCGACGAAGCGACATTTGCACATTGTAGAGGATGTCTTGGACTGTGTGCAGTTGCTCAAAGGCGGGCTGTGTCATATTCATATCATTCTGTTAGTGGAACTAGAGCAGAGCAGAGGAGAGGAGAGAAGAAGAGAGTATGAAATTCAACTTGCATGATTCTGATTCCTCTCGTAGATGCGGTCAGCTCGAGACGGGCCGGTTAGACAGGGCGAGTAGTCCATGTTCAGCGGCACTCCACCGCCGGCGGAATCGCTCGAGCTGCCTGAATCGATGTTAGGGATGGCCCCTTTCCGAGGCGTACCGTAAGGACCGACTGAATCGTCGGTCGTCTGGGAACTCATGCCGTAGAGGCTGAGGACTGGGAGATTCACGATGAGAGAATGTGTGTGTCGAGGACAAAACGGTCCTGAGGCGAGGCACAAGTCGAGAATGCAAAGGAAGGATGAAGAAGAAGGGCGTCGACCTCAGAAAGGTTATAGTAAGATCTCATCAATCGTAGCTCCAAGTCAATACACACCACAGTGCTACCTATATAATGTTTCGATACTAGTCAGTTATGTATGTGGATGTAGAGTTGGGGTAGGTAGAGGAGAAACAAACCCAGTAAATGCTTCTTCTTCTTATCTTCCTCTTCTCAAGAATCCCAAAAAGTAACTGGAAAATTAGGGGGAAAAGGAAGAGCAGAAATGAGGTGAGATAAATGATGACTGACGAAGATTGATGCTTGCTCCTTTAGCGATGAGGAAACAGAGAAGTCTGAGCCAGCAGAAGCGTTGTTATGATTCACTCTAGGAAAGGGTGCTTGTTAAGAAGAAGGTGAGGATTGTTAGAAACTGAGAGACGAAAGAAAAAGGAAAACCTCATCACCCAGTCTATTGTAGGGAGGGGAATAAGACGAGAGAAGAAGTGAACAGAATCCCAGGAGGGAACACTGCCCAGGCACATTCCAAGAAGAGCAGAGAGGTGAGTGAGGTGGAAGCGAGCACCGGTGAACGCGCAGTGCCACGCAGCCGGCAGCCAGATGGCATTGTCCCACCGATCCATCCTATTGTCCCGACAGTGTGAGGAAATCTTTTCTTCCTCTTTTTCCTTTCTCTTCCATTAAGGAAAAGGAAACTTGAGGGAGCGGGAGTACCACGATATAGCACCGTCTGCTACTATAGATATCTATCGTCTTGCCCTAGGTGCTACACTGAAACGACGCTGGCACGCGTACTCACGATAACACGTGAAACTGGAAACAATTGACCTTGTACATGGAAAAACTTGGAAGGGACAACGAGGGTAGAGCCACTGGACTCCATCGTCTTGCACGCGGCGATGAATGCGAACAATCATGGCTCACAGATGGGACGTTGTCCGTCCCTATCAAAGGCACATTGGCAATGATTCACTGATACGTATCCAAAGAGTCGGATCGTCCACCGGAGCAATGGAGAGTGAGTGTATAAGAATGAAAAAGTCAGTCTAGATTCACCAAAGATTTTTGAACCTAAGACTCTTTTGTTGCAAATTCTCCCCCCCCCCCCTGTCCTCTTTCGTTTCCCGCCCGAAAAAAAAAAGAAATCTAATGGAAGTCTGCCGATATGAGAATAATAGAGCAGGCTCTGTGTTTTGGTTTTATTGTGCCACATAAGAGAGGAAAGAAGGGGAACAAAGTACCATTGTGGAGAAGAATGATTCTTTTTTACACCGTCCCTAAAATATTTTAAAACAAGGCAGCCTATGGAGCAAGATATAAGGGGGAAGGAAGGGGAAGATGTATCAGTAAGGGAACAGGGGGCAAGCCCTAGTCTGATGTCGTATGTGTCTGTGGTTGGTCCGGGGGGGGAGAGACTGACAAGTTGCCTCTTGTTGGTGTCATCGTCGTCGATGAAATGAGACGGGAAGAATATTGTGTGTTTCTAGATGAGAGAGATATAGAGTAGTCGAGGAGGGATCGGAATAAAAGGGGGTATGCGTGTGCATATCGCGCGGGGATGAAAACAATATTAGCCTTCTTTTTTGCTTTTCTTCCTTAGAATGCCCGCGAACGGGAGAACAAACTGCTGTAGACGGCGTCTACAACAGGGGAGGCGTCAATCATCCGTCCACCAAAGTATCTGCCGTTGAGACCCTTGATGGCGTTTTCCCCGCCCTGCACCTTGTCGAACTTGAGGTAAATGTCACCCTTGGAGTTGGGATCGACCGAGATGTGAACCACGTGGCCGTAGCGGTTCTCGGCCTCTTCACGGACGTCGTCTTCTAGTTCCTTGACCCAGTCCTCGCCCTCTTCCCTGTAAAGTGTGTTAACATCTGTTCCTTCTTCCCCTTCCTATCCTTCTTCTGATGGCACAGGAGGGAGGGAGGTGACGTACTCTTCGGGATCAAACATGTTGTGAAGAACAACACAGCGACTCGCCATGTTGACATTGACGGGTAGAGCCTTGACCTCGGCCTTGGGCTTAGGCATCTGGCGCTGGTCCTGCTGGTGTTGGTCGGCACCGCTGCCGTTTGTCGCAACGGCTGTCTCATCGGTTCTAGCAAGTTTCCTCATCAACGCATCGCGACTGTAGTTGCTAAAGTTAACACCGCCGACGTCCGTATCGTCCAGGGCGCTGGCACCGCCAGACTTCTCGCCGTCTCGGCCGCCGGCTCGGTCAAACCCGGCCGATTGCTGCTGCTGGTGTAAGCCGCGTCCGCCGGCACCGGAGAAGTTGGATCCCTGGAATTTGCCATTGTTTTGGTCACGGCCGGAGAATTTCTGCAACAGGTTGGCGGTACTCTCAGGGGTGAACTTATCGTTTCCAAGACCGACACGGATTGGACGTCCGGCCAGGTCGAAGCCATTCATCTTTTCCAGTGCCTCTCGAGCTTGGCCAGCATCGCGGAATCTATCAGAGTTGTTTGTCAGTTGATGAAAGCACACATACACACATGAGTAGAAGGGGAGGAAGGGAAGAAGAGGAATACGGAAGACGACAAGATGTAAGAAAAGGATAAAGAAGAGAAACTCACTGCACAAAACCATAGCCACGGCTACGGCCAGTGTCATCCTTTTGGAGCTGGACAAACTCCAGCTCACCAAAGGGCTCAAACACGGCCTGCAAGTCGTGTTCTGTGACGTTGAAGTGAATATTTCCGACGTAGAGACGATGGAAAGGTATCGAATTCGGATGGTTGCCCGAGTCGGTCGTGCGGGCTTGACGGTTCTTCTCGGCCTCGGTGACCTGGACAATGACAGGAATACCTAGGAGCTTCTGTCCCGTGAGCTGCAGGGCCTGCGCAACAGATTCCTCGTCTTTGAATTCAACATAACCGACTCTGCAAATTCACATGTCAGCATTGTCTTTGTGTGTGTGTTGTCGGAAATGGAGAAGGGGGGAAAAAAAGAAAACGAAATAGGAGGAGGGATAAAAACTCACCCCTTGGATCTCTGGCTGATGCGGTCCTTGACAATCTGAGCCTCGTTGACTGGGCCAGCCTTTTCGAAAAACTCCTTCAGCTCGCGAGTGCGCAGACGAGCGGCGAGCTGCTGGACAAAGACGGTGCGTCGGTCCCTCTCATCCTCGGAACCTTGGCGTCCAGGGCCGCCGTCGTCCCTAGCCCCGCGACCTCGGCCGTAGTCGTCGTCGTCGCCGCCGCCTCCAGCTCCTCCTCCAGTTCCTCCACGACTACCGCGTCCCCGACCGTAGTCGCGGCGGTCACGTCGATCCCGCCTGTCGCCGCGGCGGTGATCGTCTCGGGGCCTGTACCGGCCGTAGGGCGAGCGGGAGCGGGAGTCGGCCGTTCGGCCCCGCCCACCCCGGTAGTAGTCGCCGTCTCTGTGGTGGCGGCGTGAGTGACGGCGGTCATCATCTCGGCTTCTGCTTCTGCGCCTACTCTTGTGGCTGCCCGTGTCGCTCCGGGGGGTCCCCTCCACCGCGTCGACGGCCGGCGACCCCCCCCTGCGGCTCCTGTTGCCCGGGCTAGCGGCGTCCCTCCTCTCGCGGTCCTTGCGTGACCGTCGCTGGTCGTTATCGCGGTCGCGGTCACCTCGGTCGCGCGCCCGGCTATCAGACCGGTATCGACCGCGTTCCCTGTCCTCGTTGTCATCGTCGTCTCGGCCGCCACGTCTATCGTTCTTGGATGACGCATCCTCCATCACCTGGTCATTGTCGTCCGTCGGCTTACGCTCGGGGCCCTTGGCCGCCGCGTCCAGCAAAGCCTCCACATCCAAGCCACTCATGATGAGCGTTTGTGTGTGTGTATGGGTTATCCTGCGTGCCTGGGTCAACGATCCCCTAGTAGTAGTAAATGATAGCTTATTTGATGAAATCCGGGAGGGAAGAATTGATTTTCCTGTTTATACTGTCGAGAAAATCTAAAGATGAACCCCGTGCGGTCCCTGGTGTTGCGGCAAAATCACAAGTAGGATACGCATTGGGAGGGGGCTGAGGTCAACCTCCGGTTTGGGAGGCGACCTTTAAGATTTTCGGGCGTCCATTCATTATATCACGTGACTTAGTTGTCCCGGCACTATGCCTTTTCACAATTAAACTGGACTTCTATCAAGACAGTATTTACGATTGTTCCTTGGGGTAAAAAAAAATTCAGTCTGTGCCCTGAATGTGTATTATCCAGCCATCAGCCAATCTCTTATATATAATATTTCCTGAAGGATACACACTTCTCCAATAGTATGAATTCATCATCATAGATAGGCCAAGGATCTGAGGATTTTTAGGCCAATGTTTGTCCTCCAAGCAGCAGCAATATAACACCACCAACTCGGAGCCAACCAGAGTCGCACGATTCGTGTCAGCATCCGGCTGGGCTCGGAGATGCCTCTGGCGCGCTGCGCACCGATTTCATGAGCGAGTTATGACTGCTGCTTTTCGATATGTCCACACGAAAAGAACAAATGAAAATCATGTCGCCGCCTCTGCTTCGCCAGTGGTGGTCTCGGTCGCCTCCTCAGTCACCGGGTTTACACCCTCAATAGCGTACCCCAGTCGTTCCTCCTCCTTCCTGAGCTGAATGGCCTCTGTCTCCTTGCGCATTTTTTCGAGATTCCATTCGTCGTCGCCGTCGTCGTCGTCGTCGTCTTCATCTTCGTCATGCTTCCACTTGCCGCTTTCGAATAGATCACGACCAGTCGTCTCCTTGGCCTTCCGTGCCTGCTCCTCAGCCTGCTTCTTACCCATGCGTTCCTGCTTCCATTTGGCGAAGGTCTCTGGTGTGACGGGTGTGAGTGTCCCAGTGAGCTTGTGCCTCTCGGACTCCAGGAAGTCCTCCAGAGTGAGTGTTTTTAGTGGCGACTTGTCCAGCAAGGCCTTCTCAGCTGCTCGCTGTTCCTTGGTCTTGAGGATGAAACTGTGTACAATGCGGATTAGTAAAAAAGAACAAGACGTAGACAGTAACGGAGAGAAGGAATGTTTACCCAGGTGGTAGAGCGTGCCTGTACATGCACTTATCGGCGCCGTTGGGGCAAACCCAGAACCAGCCATACTTGCCATCCTCAATAGCCTGGATGAAGAACTTGCACACCTTTTCGGTTGTCGTCTTCTGGTTGCCCTTCTTAGACAAGACGACCTTGCGTAACTGTTCCTCGTCCCAGTCGGCTGATGTCTCCTGCTTCTTCTTCTCCTTCTCGTCCTCTTCTCGAGTGTCTGTGTACAGGTTCTTCTTCTCCGTCTTTCGATCCAGCGAGAGGTCGTGTGCAAATTTGCACTTCTTGCCCTTCTCACAGTTGCCCTTCTTGAAGAATATGCAGACCACAGTTTTGGGATCGACGCCGAAGGGAACCTTCTGGATCTGTTGAGGGCGGTTGAGAAGAGCGTCGGCCTCCCTCTTCGCATCCTCTGCGGCCTTCTTCTCCCTTTCCCTCTGTGCCTTTTCGGCAGCCTTCTTCTTCTCTTCAGCGCTGCCACTAGCACTCAGATTCTTCTGCATCTGTTGAATCTGCTTCTGCGCTTGGGCACCCTTCTTGTTCTTCATACCAAAGGTGCGATCCTCGACCAGTTTGCTGGCCGACACCTTGTTCTTGGCCGGCACCTTCTCATTCTTGGCATCCTTTTTCGCCATGGTGGGCTGTTGGCGGGGTGTGAACGAGGGGTCGAAAAGTAGAAGATTCGCTTGGGGTCGTCCAAATCGGACCCAAATATGATGTCTAGATGCCGGAGAGTGCCGCAAAGGGTATTTCGGTCTCACTCGTCGTCGTCGTCGCCTGCGCACGGAGGCCACAGAAGGTAGAAAGATAAATACAGTCAGCCTGTGCGCTGATGGGCTGTCAAAGTCTGGAGTATGGGGTGGTGGCGGTGGCATGAGGTCACAGAACGTCACGTGCACTGAACTTTTTGTGTGGGCTCGTGGGCACATCTCGATTTTATGGGTCGGTGTCACCTACTGTCCAGTTGAGTTTAGCGCCCTGGGGGAGATACGCCGCGACGCCCGCAGCCTACGAGTACGAAGCACCAGCTGTCCTGTTGCTACTGTTCCTACGAATACAAATTCTACAAAGTCCAAAGAAACGTCCATCGGACCACTTCCTCTCTCTCTCTCCGTGAGGAAGAACACGGTAATTACAAGCATCAACTACATATAGGACGAACAGCCCTCCTAACTCTTTACTTGAGCAGGTACCCCCTGGATTGAACCGCTCAAGACGACTACTCCAACCGAAAACCACGATGATATCCGACGGAGACCTGTACACCCTCGCCGTATTCCTCGGCTCGGCATCTATGATCCTCATTGTCGCCTATCACTACTTTGAGGTGAACTCGACCGACAAGCTGGAAGAGCAGCCGCTGGGGGCCTCGTCGGAAAAGAAGACTATCGGCACCAACTGAGACGCTCCCACTACTACATCAGCAGACTGCGCACACCTATATTTTGTCCCATCAGTAATATCCGTTACCTATAACGAATGTGATGGAAATACCAATAGATATGATACAGTGATATTGGTGCATATGAACGGCGCTGCGGCCTTTCTTTCGGGTCATAGAGAGGAGCGGCAGCAGAGCGGCGATGGCCTTGATCAGACATCCTGGGCCCTGGATACCAGACGTGGGATCGACGGAACCGCATACGAAAAATGTTACGGGGAAGAGTTCGTCTGAGAATTTAGCAACGGCGTATTGGGATTTTTGTTTCGCTCCTGGAAACTGGCCCAGTTGTAGATTAGTTGCCATGGGTTTACAGCTATGACGGGAGACCTCCCGGTCGCATTCAACAAACTCATAAAGTTAATGGGCATTTACCGCACTTGAAATCCCAGAGAGCAAGTGAATTTATATTTAGTACTGCGAGTAGTATTGTTTCCATCCCTAGTGCGGAATACTGCTGCTACTACTACTACTAACGATGCTTGTAATCGTATCACTGTTCCCATGCGTCGTGATGGCGTTTGTATTAGACAAGCTTTCCTTCAATACAACGCCCAACATATATATCTGGTAGCTCAAAGGTACCAGCTAATGCGATATTACCTATTGACTATTCTTCAATTTAACACTTAAGTGCAAAAATGTAGTCTAAAGAAACCATCTGTTGCCAGTTGGCCTCAACCGCATCAGAGTCGTGGCTGAGTATATGTGGCGGTGCTAAGATGCACGTAAGCCACATGCAGTTGCCAAGTTAGGCCCCTATCTTTTCCCTGAGCCCCAGGTAGATTTGGGCCTCAGGCAGAAAAGCGCGTTCTATTAGGTGATGAGCTCGCGCGACAAACATTCTCGCCCTACTAGCCTGGCGGCCATCCCATCCGCGCCCCCCTCCCCTCTGTTCTCGTCTCACTCTCCCTCTCCCTCTCCCACCTTCCAAACTTCCTATCTTTTCATCCGCAACTCTTACTCTTCTCCAACCAGGTCGCCATCTTCACACAAAACTTACGCGACTTTCCTTCATACTTCAGCTCGACCTTTCCCTCTCTTGACTTTAATACACCGCTCGACGCGCTACTACACGAATTTTTTGCTTTTTGGATCAACTCGATCCGCCTAATATATTGATACACCACTGCACTCGATACATTTTCCCCGAGTCATCAACTTCTGTCGTCTACCTTCCGACAGACTCCATCACCGACCACTTCTCTCATTTCCTTTTTTTAAATTCAAATCAACCGTCATCATGTCTGGCAAGCTCAACCAGTCTCTCGACGAGATTACCGCCTCTCAGCGCAAGGTTGCTGGTGGCCGTCGTCGCAATCAGCGTCGCGGCACCACCCGTGCTTCCGTCCCTACCGCCCCCGCCGGTGGCATCAAGAAGGCCACCAAAGGGGGCCGCAACGCTCCTCCTGCCCAGGCCGCCCCCCCTAGGGGAGACAGCAAGGTCATTGTGAGCAACCTGGTAAGCTTCACCTCGCCAATTTTGACAATATTATATCAGATACTAACCCAAAGCTCGTAGCCCAAGGACGTCACGGAGCAGCAGATCAAGGTATGTCTCCGCTGAGGCTTTCTGAGCCCGCGGACTTGATTCGACGTATCACCTCTCGCAAAATCTTTCCAATTTCTTTTTACGACGCAGCCTTTCCACATGAGATGCACCCAGCCATGCCTCCCTTGGCAAAGACAAAACAACCCTATGACGGCCGTCGTCTCCTTCCCTGGAAAAAAGCGTTACTTGGAAGACAGAACATCGCTCGGGAGGTTGAGAACACCCTTGTCGTTTTTCAATGCTCACTCCCAAATGCCTGGTCAGCATTGGAGTAGAGTCGAGCGACTGAAAAGACGGGTGCGGCTATGAGGATCTGTTTAATCGTGTGAAAATGCGAATGGCTTTTCTCGGATTGTTTCAGTCGTTGGAACAAGACAAGCTGAACGAGCGAAACAGTGAGCACATGCAGGACACATCGCATCATGAGCATCAGGGGGAAGCACTTCACATTCTACATGCGCCACGTCGAACGAGGAGAAGAGTGCGGAGGCTAGAAGAGACGGGCGCCCAGGTTGAAACCGGGCATAGCTATCTAAGGTCTGGATGAGATGCGTTGGTCATGCAGAAATACCGGAGTTGGTTGGACTCCACCACATGCATGGAGCTCGTTTACTTTTTTTCTTGCGAGGGCTGGCCATACATGCACGCTGCACTGCATTTGCATCGTCTTCCATGGCTCACTGTTTTGCTCGTTCGCTGTCTGAACAACCTATCGAGATCGCCTTTTACCGGCGTACTATGGCTCCTTGAACCGGATCGATCGAGACGAACTCGAACTCGCCGCGGGCTTTCAACTCAACACTTTCGGTTTACTAACCCTTGTGCCCACCAGGAATACTTTGTCCAGTCTGTTGGTCCCATCAAGAGGGTCGACATTTCCTACGGTCCTAACTCCCAGAGCCGTGGTGTCGCCAACGTCATCTTCCGTGAGGCCGACGGCGCTAGCAGAGCCTTTCAGAAGCTGAACGGACTGCTGGTTGACGGCCGCCCCATCAAGGTAAGAGGGAAACCCAGCATTTACATGCTTTGGTTCTCGTAACTAACAATTTCTCAGATTGAGATTGTTGTCGCCGCTGGCCAGGCCGAAAAAATCATCCCCACTGTCAAGACGCTTGCGGAGCGCACCAGGTAAGTTGTGGTTCCCTAAAGCATACGTAGGAACGCATACTAAAAACTGTTCACAGTCAGCCCAGGGGTCAGCCCAAGTCAGCGGCCACAGACAAGAAGAACAACGCCCCTGCCAAGAACGCCCAAAAGCCCGCCAAGAAGCCTCGCGGCCGTAACGCCCGTCCCGCTAAGAAGACGGCTGCCGAGCTTGACTCGGAGATGGCTGATTACTTTGATGCCGCTCCCGCCAACGAGAACGCCGGTGCTGCTCCTGCCGTCGCCGCTCCCGCTGCCGCTGCCACCCCGGCCCCTCCACCTGCTGCTAACGGCGAGGCTATGGATGACATTGAGGTTTGTACTACAATCGTCTGAGTGGATACATGCAAAGCTAGAAACTAACATTGTCGTGCTGTAGTAACTTGACATTGGCAGCGATGTGTGAGAATACGGGAAGAGGAAGACGTCTCCTCCCTCATCATACAATACGGTTGGTTCGTCACAAGCGAAAGGACAAGGAAGTTATCACGAAACCCACAAAAAAAATACCTCGAGAGTAGTTTGTTGAATGGGGTTTGGCTTTTTTCTACTTTCTTTTCTTTTTATGACACTGCCCGCCAGACTGTACCTGGGCAATGGGGATCAGGAATCCCCGTCATGTATTACATATCATTCAAAGGAGTAAAGGAATTAATCTTATGAGTGCGTACGACTGGCCATGGCTGTGATTCAGATGTGCTTGGGGGATGTAGGATGTCTGCTATGTTGGGCGTGATGCGAAGTACGTTTGACCTGAGAAGATTGGCGGGGTCAAGGTTGGTACTTTAGCACTGAGGTACTGTAAGGGCTCGCACAAGAAATACTAGCATTCGATTCTTTATTTACAGGTACGCAGGGACTGTAGAGTCAAGTGAAAGACAAAACACGAGCCAATACAGTAGTAGCGTAGGTCAGCTGCGAGATGATAAAACTGCTGTGAAGTGCAAAGGGAAACCCGAGCGTCGGCAATGATACTAGCCGCAAACGGACCGCAGGTGATCGATCAAGAAAGGGAGACCGCACTATGATGTGAAGAAGAGCAGAAAGAAAAGAGAAAGTGAAATTTTCTCCGGTTGAGCTGAACGATATAAAATACCCTGTGGTTTGCGCCTTTGACCCTCTTTTGTTTGTTTTCTTGTGTTTTTTTTTTCTTTTTTATTGAAACATTTCCATCTCGTCACATCGTCAAAAAGTGATTTCCCAGTGATTCCCTCTTTTCTGGTTATTAGTGGAAAGAAAGATTACGCTTTCTTGGGCGCAGCAGCATCCTCGACTTCCTCCAGAGGCGGCATCTCCTCCTCGCCGTCGTCGTCACCGTCATCCTCATCAGCTCCACCGGTGATGTTGTCGGGGTCGATGGCGGTACCCATGCTGCCAAAGTCGGGCATGCCACCCTCTCCACCCATGCCGCCGAGCTTGGAGAAGTCGATACCTCCAAAGTCGCCTCCGGCACCGGGGCCACCACCCATACCGGGCATGCCACCTATCAAACATATTAGCATTTTTGCTCTTTTTTTTTGCAGAGTGTGAATGGGAGAGGTGAGAAGGGAACAGGGATGAAGGAATAGAGAGAGAGGAGAGGGGGAAAAAAACATACCCATGCCACCAAATTGGGACATGTCCTCCTCGGGAGCCTCATCTTGCTCATCCTCGTCGACCCACTTGTCAAAGTCGGTCTTAAGGAAGTGAAGCTTCTTGGACTCCTTGAGGAGGCGGGGCCAGTACTCCTCCTTGAGGTCCTTCTTTTGGAGCCTCATCTCAATGTTCTTGTTGGTGTGGTTGATCTTGGACTGGTCCGGATCAATTTCCGCAAAGAGCTCGAGGTCGACGCGGTACTTGCGCTTGAGGGTCGACGAGGTGCCCTCGAAGGAGACGGACGTGGGCTTGATGTCGAGCTTCAGACCGTCGGCGGGGACATCGGAGGCGGAGATGGTCAGGTAGATGAAGTTCTTTTCCGGTTCCGAGTCGGAAGAGCGCTGAGCCCAGAGGACTATAGTTTTTGTCTTCACGTTAGAATCGAGATAGCACAAAGGGTGACAGAGGGCGGGCGGAGGAGGGGGAGCGCGACAGATGCCCAAGAAGGAGGGGGGATTACTGCTTTTCTTTGCTTACCTTCGGGAGTAGAGTAGTCAGCCATTTGTAAATATTATAAAGAACGGTTTGAGTTAAACTGCGATGAAGAAATTGAATTGGATCAAGGAAGAGAAAAGCAGGAGAGAAGATTGTGGATGCAAGAGTAGTTGATGAGGCTGTCTCTTTGCTTTCAGGCAGAGAGGAGTAATAGTAGTAATACTAGTAATACCTGTTTTCATGGAAGAGTTCAGAATCCCAAAGATTGGTCCCCTCGGCCTTGTTATGCAGGTACATATCTGTGAGTGGGGGATTTGCCCAGAAACGTAAGTACCAGCGTATCACACCTGGAGCCTGACGTACCAAGTTCTCCACAACACTCTTTTCCAAGGTCACTGCACTGATTATTTCCTTCTTTTTTTTTTGCCGTCTCTAAACCGTGACGCAACAAATTCAACCGGGGTAGCTTCTAGTAGAATCTATATGCGTCGACAAGCATCAGGGTAGTCGATCTCTCCACACTCTCTCTCTCTCTTTGTTTTCCTTCACCACCAACTGATAAAGAGTAATTCCGGTGATCTTTTCCCCTACTAGGTATGAATACCAGTACTTCCTTGGACCTTGATCCGATACTTGATGGCGGGGGAGGGAGCTGGGAGCTGGTGAACCCCGCCTCTGATACGTCTACTCGTACGAGTGTGCTTTTATCAACACTCTCAGGACGGCTATACACCTTTTTTTCTCTAATTTTTTTCTCAACACCGCACATATAAGGTGAGCATTACCGCTACCTATGAATGCCACAGCAGCGTGCGGGCATGTCCAGATCTGGGCATACCGAATCTTGCGGTGCTGCAGTTCTAGACAACATGCAAGGGTGGCAAACTGCTACAAGCGGCAATTCCATTCTCAGACCTGCAAGCACGCTGGGCAGCATTTGAGGACACAACGCCTCAGGTTGAACAATTACGTCGGCTCCTGCTTTTCCAGATGCATTCGCGACAGCCTGGAACCCACCAAGGGTGCCGACATCAGTAACATTTCCGGAAGAGCGGAAGTACACAGCGTTGCATAGGATCCGATAGGGGACTGGCCTGGCATAGGCACTTCGAATTTTGCTGAGCTTGATGGAGACGAAACACTGGCAATATTCTTCAACGTTAACTAAATAAAGCATCACTTCATTATTGTCTTATAGTGGTGCCCAAACATAATCATACACACGCCCTCCATCGACGGGTCTGCATACAATATTTCTTGCCGGTCAAGCTGTAAGGTCAGTCCAATCTCGATATTAACTGCTCCCGGCCTGCTTTCTTTGTTCTTGCCAACTGCCGCCTTCTTACCCACACAGGGATCTACTGTCTAGTCGATTGATGATGGAAGAGGATTAGTGAGCTACGCCTGAGGGGGGGAGGGGATGATCAAGAATATAACGGTTATGGCTTTATGATCATTCGCAATGAAAGAGCCTCAGAGCCAGAGAACTTTTGGTCTTATGGCCATACTTTTATCTATGCGCAAGCCTCGATGTATTGCCCGCTCGTCGATGTTCGGCCTTATGACGGTTGGGCTCAACTCTGAGCTACAGGGTAGACAGAGATGTCGTTTGTAACCTGGAAGTGTCTTGTCTTGGGGCATCGTGCCATCTCAATAGCGCCAGGATATGGCAAGGTACGATTCGCCTACCTCTACTAGATAAGACGCTGCGGAGTATGCCTCGCGTCAGCTATTTCAACAAGACGCTTTCTTCAAAACACGCTCTGGCTGAGGGGTTTTGTCTACGTCCTTGGCGTCCTGGTCACGATCGCGTTTCTTCTCCTGACGTGAACTCCCTGATTGCAAGCCAACACCAGCATGCGTAGGGGGGGAAGCGGCGGAGGTTGCTCACTGACCACGCAAGTCCGTATGAAGTCTGGGTAATGCGCATCTGAGAGGGAAGTCGAGAGCGATAGACCGGCAGTAAATCCCCTTCCACTGACCCTGTCAGCTCATTGGGTACCCAGCCATCTGTATTTTCGCCGCCAAAATCGATCAACTATGCATCATTGTTATGGTCGATGAGGTCTGGCTTAGCGTCACCCCAAACGATTCCAGCTTCGTGCAATTGGTTCGCAATGTCGCTGATCTGGGTGGCCCATCGTTGCCTGAGGTGCCTCGATCGGCAGTTGCGCATTGGTCGACCAGCGAGCAGGGAGATGAGAAGGGGCGCTGGTGATGCTATGTGGGCGTCGGGCGCAGCTTCGTCAAGTATATAGGGGGAACCGCGGACGAGCAAGCAGGCTGTGAAGGTACGAGGTTGTTCACGAACGGTGACTTTCTGATGGGTAACTACCCGGAGCTGGCCGCTTTCGAGTCACGTGATCCTGTTCGGCCAGTCAGAAACTGGAACCGCCGACCCCAACACATGGATTACATCAATCACGATTGCATCCTGTTATCAAGGTCTCCCACGGGAGAAGCCATCAACAGACATTTCTACGTCTGGACATAACGGAGAAGGGGGAAAAAGACCGACTTCATCCACCGCAGGCAAAACCCAACCTCCCTCCAATCCAAATACTCCCAGTCACCTGATCCTTTAACGCCCACCATGGAGACACTACGAGGGTTATTTGCAAAGCCGGATCCTCAGCAGCAGGTGATTACAACCCTCCTCGATAACAAGGCATCGAAGACTGATAAAATGGCATGACACCAAAAAAATCAGGTTCGAAAATGCAACGCCCTGATTCGACAAAACATCCGCAAACTCGACCGTGACATCGTGCAGGTGCGACAGGTCGAGGCCAAGACCAAGAACCTGATCCAGCAGGCCGACCGGCGAGCGCAGCGGGACCCATCGCGGGCAAAGCAGGCGCAGAAGGAGGTGCGTGACTTCGCTCGCGAGCTGATCCGCGTGCGCAGGACGTCGGCCCGGCTGGTGACGTCCAAGGCGCAGTTGAACAGCGTGCAGATGCAGGTCAACGAGGCCTTTGCGGTGCGCAAGATTGAGGGCTCGATCCGCGCCAGTGTCGGGGTCATGAAGGATGTCAACTCGCTCATCCGCCTCCCCGAGCTGTCGAGTACCATGCAGGAGCTCAGTGTCGAGCTGATGAAGGCCGGCATCATCGAGGAGATGGTCGGCGACACCCTGCCCGAGGACGACGACATGCTCTTCGAGGGTGGCGAGGAGGAAGGCGAGGGCGAGATCGACAAGGTTCTCGGCGAGATTCTCAGGGACAGGAACGCCACCGCTGCCAAGCTACCGGCTGCCCCCGTGCCCGAACCCCAGAAGCCCGTCGTCGCTACACAGCCTGCTCAGCATGTGGAGGAAGAGGAAGAGGAGGATGCTGATGCTCTCATGGATCAGATGAGGGATCGACTCGAGGCGCTAAGGAGCTAGAACTCTTCTTCTTCCTCTGTTCCTTGCTTTGACTCATTTTTTAAAAGAATATGACATATGAGGAGTTAGCGGCGTTGGGCGAGTTTTTTTTTTTTTTAACTTTATTTCTATTTTATTTTTCTATATACGCCTCATCTTTTTTTTTCGGTCTCTTCCTTCTCGTTCTCTTGATACTGTTTTTACTGTTTATTTTCCCTCTCTCTACTATTTTCTGTCGATGAGAAGTAATGGTCAACATAAGTATGCAAAAGCGTGACGCTGCCGATTTTCGTCAAGTGTCACATTTTCCAAACTACCCTGCATCTGTCTGTGACACGTACACCAGACTCTAGACGGGCTACGGGCTATGCCTCACGTATAACGTCTGTTGGGTCCTTGGTGCGTGTGTCTGATATTCTCTTCTTCTCCTTCGAGGGAATGCCTTAAAGCGAGGTTATCTATAAAAGAGCGTAGGCAGTCGTTGGCTGCTGCCACACTCACATTTGTAGATAATCTCGTAGATAGATTTCCTTTCCTCGGAATCAAGCACTAAGACACACACTCATCGACCCAGGACGTACCAGCAGGCAGACACCACTGTATTCACGCCTACGGGTCATCGTGTGCTGCCGCAAGCAGGAAGCACATGCGTGCAGCAGAGCTCTCATCAGATGACTCATAAACCCTCCCCGTTTTTTTTTCACCCGGCCATGGCGTACATGTTCAATCCCATGACAACTGGGTATATAAAGTGAGGAAAGGAGGAGGATAGCCGCAAAAGAGGTGAACTCGTGGTCAAGGTGTTACAGAGACCCTCCCGGTTTGAGAAGTTGATATTCTCTGTATTATGCCGCGCAGGAATCCACGTGATCCTCTGGCAAGCACTGATTACGAGGAAGTTGTAGTAGTTCAAACAAAAGGGTAAATGAAACCAAAGGCTTACGAGATGATGTGTTCCACAGCGTCTTCTTTTTTTTTTTTAAAAAAAAAAAACGATAATCTTGCTACCGTGATACTCATACCATTATTCCAGACTGCATGTTCCTTCTCCGACTTTCCTGGTGTGGGTTTGCTGCTTGGAGGGGGGGTGGGTGGGTGGTCAAGTGAAATGAATATGGATCAAGAATTAAGCCATATGATCAGATTATGGAACCATACAGACAAGAGAATAGCAAACCTAGCTACAACATCACTCCCGAGATCATTGTCGTGTACGCGTGGCCCTTCCTCGCTGCGCTGGAGGAAAGTAACGTGGGATTTGAGGACAGAAAGAGAAAGGGTGTCGGGTAAGCAGCATCTCACCCATGTAAACAGATCCTGTATGACGGTGATACGGGCTGTGAGTTGGATTGGTGCGCAAACATATGATTACGGAGGGAGAGATCTGATTGTTACAGCGTGAAGAGGGTAATACGGCGCGAAGAGGAGACCGGCAGTAGGTGGATGTAAACAAAATACTGTCTACAGTATGAGTACAGTTATTCATATCTATAGACCACGATCAGCGCAGTCGGCGATAAGAAACGGGTTGAGAGGAGGGGCATGCAAGCTTGGAGCGGGCCGCTGAGGGTCCGTCCCCGCGGTGTTTGTTTTTGTTATTTGAGATAGAAGATGGCTATGCGGGATCGGCAAACTCGTAATATTAGCAAGCGGTTGACTCTCAGATTTCCAACAAGTAGTATAGCACATGTATCATGTATGTCGGCGGTTTGCCTGCTTAACTGCGAGGGGGAAGACGCTGAGGGCACCTAAAGGGGTGTGTGTGTGTATGTGTGTGTGTGGGGGGGGGGGGGAGGGCGGCTACTAACTCCGGACAGGTGGTGTACAAATGCAAGAAGAAAGAAAAGACAATAAAACCAGCAGTACGGGGTAGTAAAGTAATAAAATACGGATAGGGCCATAGAAAAAAATACCAAAAAAGACATACTGAAACGACGCGACGAGTGAAAAAAGTAAAGGCTCACATGGGAGCAAACACTGCAACGGCAGACGACTTTCCCAACTGGGCGGGCCATTGCGATGAGAAGGCCTGGCATAACTAATACTTGTCGTGAGTATCGTATTGAAGAAAGAACGTACCCGTACATATATTCATATCATCATGATGGATTATCTGGCTGTGGTTGGATCGCTTGGTATGTCCGGGGTAAGCAGGCGCTGACTCGTCGGTTCGGTATTGGAAATGATGAGTAATATACGCCGAGCAAAGAAAAAAAAAACATTTTATACGAGAACGACCTCGCCATCCTCCCGTCTCCCCTTGCTTTGATCGTTGCCGTCTAGAGATGTCCCTTTCCCGAACCGATATGCTGTTTTCGGTTTCCCCATCACCATCGTCCTAGTGGAGAGAGGACCAGATGTGTGTGACGTGGTAGACGTACGGCACAGGTACAGGGAGGGTGACCGATACAGAGACAAAAGAGAACTGAGCGCATCAAAGTCTAGGATGGGAAATAACGCACGGACGAATAATGATTTGCAAGGGAGAGAGCAGGGGGAATAATTTACGTCTGTATGAGTAAGTATTCCCAGATGTGTGCGTGCGTGCGTGTGTGTGTGTGTGTGTGAAAGTGAGAGGGGCGTGTGACGTGGCGCACGTTCCGTCAGCCACAGTGGCATGTGGATAGACTCGATTGACTTTGTTTGCCGAAATGTTCGGATCTTGGGGTCGCTTGCGATGCTCTCCGTATGGATAGAAAGAACATCGTAGTTGTGTGTTTACAACGGTATTCCCGAGCCGTTTATTAAAAACGTCATTGTGACGGACGGCAGGACATTTTTGTTGTTGTTTTGTCTCTGTTTGTTGCAACTCTGTTGTTTTCGAGAAGAGAAAATGCGTCACCGATATTTCGGGATACTACCTCTTCTGGTAGTAGAGGTAGTAATAGGCTATGGCCTTCGAGTCGTCATGGCGGAATTTAATGTATTTGGGGAGGGGGAGGGGGAGGGGGAGGAGGAGGGGGAAGGGGGGGTTCCTACCGGTTTTTTTTCTTCTATGAGCTTTTTTGTGGTGTAATAGTTTTCAAGCTTTTACTTGCATCGGAATCTGATAACAGGTGCCTGGTTTTGTTTTCGCGCAAAAAGCAAGGAAGATGGGAAAAAAAGAAAGCTGTTACCGCCATAGGGGAGAGAGGGAGGAGAGGGGGGGGGGTGAAGGCGGGACAAACTATCCGGGCGGTCAACGGAGCAAGAGTATCATAGACATGCATGACAAAGGAAACAAGCAAACAAGCAGCGAGCAGGCAAACGTCAACAAGGCAAGGCATTCCCAGAGTCTTGTGACACTAAAATTACTACCCGAAAGACGAAAGAAAAGAAAAAGAAAGAAAAAAGAAAGAAAGGAAAAAAAGTAATATGGAGTTGTGGTGCAGCGACACATGCCAACTATGCATCGTAACGATAATGCCAACAGGCGGTCAGGCGGAGTGTCCGTATCTATTAGGCGGTCAGTATAAGAAGCACGGCATGATTGATAGTCCCCCTCACTACCACGGAGTATTATTGCTACGAGTACGGGTACTGATGCTACTAACCGTAAAAGAAATCTACAGCGGTGCAGGTACATTGCATTATACATGTACTGTCCGTTTCAGCATCAGCAGCTTTGTTCAATGTTACTCCTCTACTTATCAGGCACCACAAGGAATGACACAGGGCACACAGAAGAACAGGTAGCCGTGCATATGTTTTTTTCCTGCCGTTTCGCTGGCAAAGCCCGTGGCCAAAACACCAACAAAGACAACGTGGCTCGGATGTAGGGGTGGGGGATCCAGACGGACACGGTGACCGACATATGTTGGCAAACTATGTGTCTCGACATGTTGGCAGATGGACATGATTGTGGACAGATGGGAGCGGTAAGGAAGTATGCGATTGCACGGATGTACAAACTGATGGAGAGAAGAGGGTTTGCGACGTTACTCGGAGGCGGTTTGCTGCTGATAAAGTCAGTGTGTTTGATATGTGCGTGTAGTCATGATTCAACTTACCTGCTCGGGAGCAGCGATCATATACTCATCCATCTAGATATGCGTTGAGACGTTAAAAAGAAAGAAGTCTGACTCATGCCTGCCAGTCCTAGACAGGAACTCTCATCGCATCCGCAGAAAAAAGGATCCCCCCGCGCCTACGATACTAGGGACATCGATGGCTCTTCCGCACACTCCCCCTCCCTCTCTGTTCGTCGATGAAACTGCCACTAAATACACCCCCACTTTGTGCACCCCCACACACAACTTGTCAAGTCGTTTGACCGCTTTGTTATTGGGCACGTCACACGTTGGGTTTGTTATTATTACTCGTACTCATGGACTCTACTCGTAGGGAAGGAAAGAAAAGTCATCAGGGAGGGGAGGGTTGACAGTCAGCTGTACGTTGCAACCGACAACAGTCAGATGGTCCGTTATCATGAAAGTCTTTGGGGTCATCCACACAAGGGAGAGAGAGAGAGAGGCATCTGAGTAGTATCAAGTACAGATAGAAGACGATATGAAACCCCCCCCCCTCCTTCCCCGCCGTCGCAGCAGTTGCCGGACGGAAGCTAAATGAATAAAGAAGAGGCGCTGAAACCTCCGTGTTCAACCAGGTAAATATGATGATGGAGGTGGCGTTGTCGCTTCTGATGCTGATTCGTTTTCTCCCCTCTGTTTTTCTTTTTTTGATGCCAAACCCGTGTATGATTACCGAGTACAAGATTTCGGTACCGCGTCTATGAATACTACTTTACGAGTAGTATCAGTGGTGATACTCGCAGTATTGCAGTATTACTAGAATGCGATGAGGCGTAGTATGCGCAGAGTACGAGTTGTGTGTGAGATATTATCTGATGCGACTGGAGATTTACATCTCGGAGCATATCGGCGACAAATGCGTACTCACATTTTGGTTAGGTAGGTATTGAGTCCTCTTGGTACCGGGGAAGTCGGAGATGCCAGAAAAAAGACTCTCGGTATAATGTATTACAGGCATGTATGTACACTTACGGTACGTGTGTGAGAAGCGACATATGGAGGTGGGTGCCCGATATTAGTAGTGGCTAGCGGGTGGGTGTGCTGGCCTGAGTCACCACTTTCGTGTCATGATTTATTTACAGCTGATTGATTTCGCCTTTTTTACTCATACACACACACACACGCACGCATACCCCCTTCCCCCCCTTCTCCTTCGACTCTGCTTGACTCGTTGCTTCATACTCTTCTTATTTGTCCCGTCTGGAGGAGAGTGGAAGAAGAGGCGCGAGGAAGAGGGCGGCGGCGGTCAGAGCACACCGGGCGCAACACTCAGAAAAATGAATTAACAAGACAAAAAAAGACAAAGAGAAACAAAAAAGACGGAATAGCACCGCTCAGTGCTCAGACGAATAGCAACTGGCGGTATACAGATACTCGTAAATGGGAGAGAATAATAACGCTCCGATGTTAGGCGCATCAATCAGTCACTATTACTACCTGTACGTGGGAGGAAGGGGGTGTCTGTAAGCTTTCTTGAGAGCCTGTACGCCCGGGCCTCTGGGGCCCTTACAAGCTACCCGACGGGATGCCACATTTCAGGGGTGTCCAGGCAGTGTGCCCGCCCTGTACATATAGGCTGTTACAGGGCCGGACTTGCTTCCTTTCAACTTGCAAGCCTACCCGAGCAATCCATCGACATCAGCGCGTACGAGTACCCGCTCCAGGTCCTAAGCGGATGTTCCATATACATGGAACTCCCTACATGCCGCTCAGGGCATCCATCCCTTGAGTGATAGTACCAGTAGTAATATCAGCCGGATATGAACAGGAAAGCCCGGGGCACAGAGCACCAAGCACGAGCATTTACGAGATTAAGAGACCATCATCGTTACGAGCAACCTTCATGGATAGCTATCCTCGTACCCGCACTGTTTATTATCATTCGTACGACCGATGGCGCGTCCAACGACAACGACAACGACGACGACAACGACGACGACAACGACTCAACTGCGAGCCCTCCATTCTCGTGCGTATCATTGGGCTGGCTGGGCTGTAGCTGGCGCTCTGATGGCTGCCTATGGCTGTTTATAGCGCTATGGATGGCGGTGATTCGGCCCCATTAACTATCTTCCTGCAAGTAGTAATATTTACCCGACACACGCCCTTCCACACCCCCACGGTCGCACTTTCCTTCCCTCCCTCACACACTCTCAGTGTTCCCCCCTCTCCAAGTGCGTATCTACCGTATTCTTACTCTCCCTCTCCCCCCTCCTCTCTCCCCCTCCCCCCTCTCTTTCCTTCTGTTACAGAAATCTCATAGATACCATTTTACTTCGTACCCGTGCACCAGTGAAATGGAGGGGGTGTGTGCATGTCGATGCATAGGTAGGACCCTTGATTTACCTACAGCGCCTTTTTCGTGAGTCGTACCTTTGCCCATCTCAGCTCAGTCCGTCTTGTTTTCCCATTCCCTCCCTTGCCGCCCACCCCTCCGTTTGCTTTCTTTTTTTTTTTTTTTGTAGTTGTAGGTGTAAGAATAACAACACACCGTACAATACTGGGCGGCGGTCGCACATGCCTCGCGCACCGCTCATCCCACGCGCGTTACCCTCCCTCACTTTGAAAAAAATATATTAGTTATCTCCTTCCTCGCGGCCCTCTCGTCGGTGGCTCCTCCCTTCCCTTTTATTAATATCCCACAAAAACCTTTTTCCTTTCTAATTCTCATGAGAAATCAAATATTAAAAAGATCACGGCAATCTCATATTCCCTGTCCCTAGCGACTCTGTTCTGTTCACCATCAACCATCTCTACTACTGCTAGTACCTCTATATTCCACTTGGGTACAACGGCTCCGAAACTACAATACTCCGGATCTCCCTTCTGAATCGCGCCTTGCCCGAAACCTTGACGACTCGACACCTTTACGCGCCTCTTGCCTGGAACGAGACTATTACCAGTTTTTGACACTCTCCCGAAGTCTACGAGTAATACACAGCATTACTCGATCCATATTTGTCCGGAAGTCTCTTCTGCCTGCCCCGAGACTAGCACCGCGGAACACCCCCTACTTCTCACTAGCATCACGGCCACGCCTACTCTGAACGACCACCCTCCGCATTCACCCATCGGACCCACGCACTAGCCGACGACTTGGTTTCCCTTGCCCTGCCGAGGTCCTCCCTGTTCCGGGTCCCAGCCAGACGGGCTCCCGAATCTGACAGCCGCCGGCCAGACGGGTCGTCTCCACGACGGGTACTTTGGTTTATTTTAATAAAAGAACCATCCCTGTTTCTTATATCCCCCGGACCTCGACATTTTCTTCCCCTAGTGCATCCCCCCCTTTCTCACACAATACGGATTCTCCACTCGAAACTATCAGCATAAAAGCATTCAACGAGCCCACACACCCCCATATCTCTTCGTGGACTATCCTCTTATACAAACCTCTTGGGCTTGGTCCTTCCGACATAACACGTCGGTGCATGCACACATACACACACACACACACACCCCTCGTTCACAACACCGACAACATGTTTGGTTCATTTGGTTCTTATAGCTCTATGAGCTCAACCCTCTCCTCTACCTCTATCGACATGTCGAGTTCGGGAAGCGGCTACCTTCGCGATCAGGATGCCACGTGCGCATTCCCCTCGTGGCCGCGCCGCAGCTCTCTCGACAGCGACGACTCCGCTCAGCGCCCTACCTCTTTCCTCTCTGATGATGACCTCCTTGGCGATCCCTTTGAGGATGACTCGCGCAGCTCCAGCAGCAGCGCCAACAACAGCATCCCTTCGTCACCTCAGCAGCACGAGGCACCCCACCAGCCCTTGGCCGAGGAGCTGTTCTACATGGAGCGCGAGCGTCTGGCCCTCCAGCAAGAATATGTCCGCCATGTCATCTCAGAAAAGGAGCGCCGCCGTCACGCCAAGAAGGCTGCTGCCGCTGCCGCCGGCCAGCAGCAGTCCCGCAAGAGCAGCCCTAGGAGGAGTTCCAAGAGCAAGCTCGCCAATATGACGCCCATCGCCGAATGAAGCGCTTCTGCTTGCCTGCAACGACCCCTGCGATATACCCCATACACAACGTGAGTCCTTTTTCCGCTTGCTTCATAAGAGCTTTGTCGGACCAGTTACTGACACTTTCACAGCTTCTTTTTGCCCTTTGGAACATCCACCCCCAGCAAAGATACCCAGCACTACAACCCAAACCGTTACTACACCTTGACCAGATCAAATCTACTCTATCTTCTATTTACCGCGACTACAACAACTGCAACTGCAACAAGCACTTCTACATCCTCACGTTTCCCTACTAGAGAAGCGAACATACAGAAAGATTTTTCTTCCCGAATCAACCAGACAATCAGTCTTTCAACCCTGGCCAATATCCAGAACCCCTACCGAACCCACATGCATGGTCTGTGTGGGACGGAAAAACGCGCCCTCGGTGCTTGGTCAACCTGGCAGAAGCCAAATGGAAGATTATGGAAGGGGCACTAGGAAGTGACCCCCCAGACCCGCGGGTGGCACCCAGTGCGGGGCTGTGGCGTCGATATGTTGACTCAGCAACCACACCGCCCGTCTTTGTCCGACACTCTCGGTCTCGGATCAATTCCGACATTTCAAACTCGGTCTCCTTTAGACTCGAGGAAACATTCAAGTTCCACATGCCATGCAAGCGGGATCAACAATGCCGAGGGTTTACCCCCCATTTCCTGGTCGCCGGGATTTTTCGACTTTTCGAAATAGCTCGGCTCGGCTGAGCACCAACACCGGCTTCTTCACAACATCTCTCTTACACTACCCAATACACCCCAATACCTTTATACCCTTTTCCGCGGATGGCTCAAGTAGCCGAGGATCTTAGTTTTTTCCCTTTTTATTTTTATTTTTTCTTGGGTTGATATTTACTTCCCTATGTCTTCAAGCGTTCGCATTACCATGGTTCTTTTCAGCAGGGCGTACAATAGGAGGACACATTTTACAGCAGCATATGCAAAGGAACACACGGACAAGGGCCATAAAAAGAGCGAACTCACGTCTGCATTTAGCTCAATTGCTTTTTCTTAGTTTTCCTCTTTTTTTCCCCATGAGACATCTCTTCACCTCCCCCC